TATTGTTGAAGAAGATGGGAAGTGAGCCTATGTATGCCCATGAATTGGAGACAGTGTGGGGTTGTGGTGTGAGGTGACCTGGGACTGGTAGGATGGCTGTGGGTGGTAGGATGCTTGATCCCTCTGGCAGCAAGCAGCTCAAGTGGAATTGCAGCTCCCCTAAGCTGTCGGGATGTCTGGGGGCAATGAGGGTGTGCTGGTCAGTAAAGCAGGTAATATAAGGGCAGGTCTGGCTTGGGGCTTAAAGGAATATCTCAGATGCTGGGGTTCAACTGGAAAGCCAAAAGTGCTGTTCCTTGGACTTCCCCCATGGACCAGCTCGGTGCTTGCAAAATGGATTGGGTAGCTGACCGTCAGCCTTTTTTGGTTGCTATGTGATCCTTTTCCGGCTGGGTAGCTCCCGATCCGCTGCGCGAGCAGCAGTGTTGGCACTGGGGAGAGATCAAAATCATGCGGCTGGGGGTGGAGAGAGTGAAGCTGCTGCCAAAAGAGTAAGTGCCACCCCATGTTTTTGGGCAGCTGTCTCAGACTGCTACCTAATCTGCCTTTGCCAAACTACTTCTTCAGTTCTTATCTCTGTGGGTGCGGAGGAGAAGTGCTACAGGGCTGGCAGCAGCAGTTTTCAGAGACCCTCTATAGTCACTTGTAGGATGAGATTCTGTGTCATGCTGACGTCTGTGTGACTGGGACTTGCACAGAGCCAGGAGGAGGTCATTTGGGTAGAAGACCTGAAGACTTATGCCTTTCTCTCCTCCTGCAGCAGCATCATAAAGCACTGAAATTTGATTGTTCAGTAGTGGTCCTCAGGCTGAGAAGGTTTGATCCATCTACACTTACCAGTATTGAAGTGTGACTTCTTACATCCCAAAGGACGACTTGCCTGTGCTGCAGTCACCTCTGAGGCTGTATGGTGAGGTTGCAGTGTACATAACAATCCTATTGGGTCACACTGAGCTTGTGTGCTGCTGGCTAGCTGGTAGCTACTTAGTTGGACTTCTGATTCCCATGTTGATGAGTTCAGGGCAGGCTGATGAACCCCTCCTGACTGCTAAGGGTCCTACAGCCCCCAGGAGCTGCTGTCACAAAATGGCAGTGTGGGTCCCTGAAGATGCTTCTCTGGGGCTCCTGCTGGTAAGTAGCTCATCCAGGTTTCTCATGTGGGATTTGTATTTGATTTTTATTCCCTGAAATGGTTAATGCTACATCAGAGCATTTCTGCAGAGAAAATAAACTGTAGATGCCTGCAAGTTCCAGGGTTTTTGTTTGTTTGTTTGTTTTTTTTTGCCTAATCCCAGTGATTTGGCTGGCAAACTGTAAAGCAGCATATAATAGCATATACCATAGCATTTTCAGTTTCTCAAAAAAGCTGGTATCTTTGTCCTGAGGAAAAAAAGAGGTGACAAACTGGGGCCGCCTCCTTGCCAGCGGAGACGTGGGCATGCAGCGAGCTGTACTCTCAAGTACCATTTAACCGAGTAGCTTCCCAGTGGAGTTGTCTGCTTTTAGCACAACGCTGTGGAGGGTGCATGGAAGGCTCAAGTGCTGCTTCTTGGAAACCTACTTGTATAAATGTCCTTACACTTATTCTCTGTAGTTAACGACTGTTTCATTTTTACAGCCTTTGACTTCAATTTACAATGTAACTTGCTCATCCTGGCAGTCAGCCTGAGTAAGGCAGCTGTACCTTCTTTTAATAGGACCTATGACCTGCGCAAGACAACTCACATTAATATCTCTCTATAACAATTTATTTCAGCTCCTTTTCATGCTTCTTTATCTAATGTCTTTTATGCTGTTTTTTGCTTAGCTTATCAAGCAGCAGATTCTCTCTCTCCAGTTTAGGAAGGTAAAACTACATTGCATTAAACTTCTCTGACCAAACACTTTGCTGAATCTGACTGCATCTGATTAATCTGTAATGCTTAGGTACTAATTAAAGAGAGCCCTGGGGTGATCTAACAAACTTATTCTGCATGGTTGCATTCCTAACACTTGCCTGCACTGTAGGCAGTAAAGTGAATGTTCATTGTAATTCCTGTGTTAAGGTGCAAGAAATATTCACCTTTTGTGGCCAAAGGACGGGTGTACAGTTTGTTCAGCTACTAAGTGATATTAAAGTGAGACTTCCATACAGAGACATTAAAAATTAGATGTGCCTGCCCTGACACTTTCAAAGAAGGAATTTTCTCCTTTCCCATCCTTTGCTTTACCATAAGGATCCTCCTTCATTTGGACTCTGCCACAAAGTGCACTTGTATGGTTGGACCTTGCCTTCAGCAAAAGAGCACATCCTGAAGTCAGTGGGCATTAGTGGTTTGCTGCAGAAGCATGTAGAGAATTGGTGGTGGAAGGAGAAGCCTCTCCTGAACACTTCGGTTGCTGTGGGATTGTTAACCAAAATGTCAGGAAAAGCAAATCACGATGAAGAAAAAGCAAATCACTTCTCAAATCTCCTTTTCCTGCACACTGCTTTTGTATGGAAATCCCTCTTTAATTTTAAAAGGCTACTGAATTGCTGGTGTCCTCTTCCTGGTCTGTAGGGCTTTTTGTGCAACAAAGATGCACCTTCAGGAAGGCCCAGAGGAAGAGCGGCTGCTGCCTTGCATCAGATTTCTTGAATGCTCTGAATTACTGGTTTAGAAACCAATTTGAATTGGACAAGTCTCATTGCAGCTGGAATGAGTCAGCTGGGAGCCCCACAGTGCTGCAGTCTCTAAAACCTGCCTGTGACTAATACAATGGTTTCTTTGAAAGATTAAAGAGACTTTCCAGGGCTTACTGCCAAGTGTGCATTGAGCAAGTCCCGTCATATTCATCTGCCGTGCCTGTGGAGTCCTCAGCTTCTGGTGCCGCTGCTTTCCTGGAGCATTCAGTAGCCTTTGTGGTATTTCTCCTGGCTCTGGGATTTGCACTGAAAGGACCAGGCTTACTCCCAGCACTGCAGTGACGTGGTGCTGGGAGTCACATTAAACTTGGTCCTGAGTGTCACTGTGTGTGTGCACATCACTTTTTATTTTTGAAGATGCTGAACTTGTTGCTGTCTTGCTGGGTTATGAATGGTCATTGATGCTTGGAGAGTTGTGATTTCACTGTGTGGATCTGTAAGGCATTTACTGGTCTAGGACGGGGAAACCTTAACGAAAGGTCCATCAGAACCTCACCAGCAACTGCCTCAGCACTGGATTTTCTGCCTTGCTCTTTGGAAATGGGAGTTTTTTTTGTCTCCTGGGTTTGGCGTATGGAAAGGTTTCTCTGCTTTGGCAGCTATTGGTATCCACAGCCGTGTGGCTGGGGGGAGGAGTGCTTTGCCAGGACCAGTCTCCTGGGAACAGAAAGGAGCCCAAGCCATGCCATCTACTTTTTACCTTCTGTCCCTCAGCTGCTTGGCTATAGCTCATAACCCTTGTTCAATAGATAAGTCGAGTTTGCAACAGCCCCATCTTCCATCCTCTTCCCTTCTCTGATGCCAAGTGCCCAGGAGCTGGGTGAGGCTCACGCTGTCCCCCAGCTCTTTGTCACTCAGGGATCCATCTCCCTGCATCTCTCATAAGCTGAGGCTGATGGGAAGCTGGAGTGAAAACTGTAGCACTGCAACCCCCAGGTAAGTTTTTTTTGGATGGATGAAACAAGCAGTTGCTGTGGCTGGAGCTCTTCTGGTGCCTTCAGCCATGTGTGCAGTTCAGTCCTTGCTGCAGTGCCTAACTTTGCTGGGTTCATGCTGAGTGCGTGGATTTTGGTATTTCCTGAACTGGAGTGCTTCCTCAGCAGGTAGAGCATGAGTAGCAGCAGTGCCAGCATCCTGCCTGTGAGCCGGGGGCTGCTTGTGAGGCTGGCGTCGTCCTCACAGCCATCACCACACGCTGAGAGCCCTTCTGCTCGTAGTTGCACTATCTCAGGAGTGGTCTGGGGATTTGCTCCACCTCTTGCATGTCTAAGGAATGTGTCTTCCACTGTTGAAAGTGTTTTAAGCAGAGCTGCTAGCTACCAGTTCCAATGCAATACCTGCTGTTTCTCCTAAAGTACTAAGGCACTTGAGACCTTGGGATCCTCTCTCCCATTGTAAACATGTAGTGTTTTAATTGCAGAGGAGAAAATGAAAGAAGAAATTCTTCCCTTTCAAGAGCGCCAGAGCACTATCCAAATGAAGACTGAAGTTGGAATTAAAGACTTTCCCTTTTTCTTTTTTCTTAAAAAAAAAACAAAAACAAAAACAAAACAAAACAAAACCTGATCTACCTGATCTTCTGGGGCCTGTTTTGGTGATATTCCAACAGGGTTGGCAGTACTGTGCTGATTTAGTGCTATCCTCAAATAGTATCTACCTGGAGACTCTAAGATCAGTTTTTGAGATTCATAAGTGGCACTGGCTATTTGGATGGTCCTGGCTGTTTGGATCTTGCAGCCTGAACTTGGGGGTCAGTGCATGGACACATGGAGTGTGTACTGTGAGTGCCTACTCGCAGCAGTGAGAGGTAAAGCAGTCATCATGTAATTCCTGAGCACAGAAAGGACCAAGTCAGGCTCAAGGGCCAAATGCTTACGAGCCGTATCCGATTCACACTTGGCCTGGAACTGCAATGTGAAATATTCACAAATAAAATAAAATCTCAGCGAAGAGAATAACTGATGGTACAGCACCAGGAGAGTGAAGCTACTTTGTTAGTGTCATGGTTTGAGCCTGCTGGCTGATCAAAGACATGTTCGGATGTGATACAGAACTAAAATTATTCTTGACATTCATTACCCTAATAGCTTCATAGACAAAGGAGATGTGTCCCAAATGACACTTCAAATTGACAGAATCATCTCAGGAATGAAAAAATAGTCAAATACCATGACTCTTGACTTGTGAAAAACCTGTTGTAGGGATGATGGGTGGTAAGGAGGGCATGTCTAACAAGAACACAGCACGGACAGGCATCTGAGATGAGATAGGAAGGGAACCCTTTGATTTCTTTCTAGTGCTTTGATCTCTAAGAAATGCTTCTTGAATCTTCCAGGAGCACCTTCTGCGCAATCATTTCCCAGCTGACGGAGGAAACCCAGCCACTATTTGAAACCACTATCAAATCTCGTTCTGTGTCCGAAGACTCTGATGCTAAATTCACGTGCATAGTGACAGGTAACAGTGTCTTCAGTGAATAACCTGGTCCGGTCTCACTTGCTAGACTTGTGCTAGTTAGAGTCTAGAGTAAGCAATAACAAGGCATCACGTAAGTCCAGTGTTGTCATACTGACAAGTAAAGATTCAGCAATTGCATGACAATTTCAGCTTTAATTTGATGGGAGAATCAGGGGAAAACATTTGACGCTGTAAAGAAGCAAAGGCTTACCCAAACATCTCAAGCAGAGCAGATTAAAGACCAAGAAATGGACTATGCTGATTACTGCTTGGGCAAGTGATACTTTATTGTCCTAGTCTGTGCTTTGCTAATCCTGGATTCCACACTTCAGGAATGTGTAGTTTTGAAGACTGTTACACTGGAACCAATTTTAGCTCTCATTGCTGGCTATACATTTGCATTAGTGATAAACATGTGTATCTGTCAGTATCTGAAATAAAGACCAGTTTTTACCCAGTGAGCTAAAATCTAACCCTGAGCAGGAAGGCTTTAGGTCAAGGGATTTAGAGGGAGATGGAGGAGGCTGAAAGATAGAGTTAGTGCTGAGGTGTTGTGGTGAAGGGGAATGGCAAAGCATTGATATAAAGGCAAGCAGCTGATGAGCTTTTGCTTCTTAAATGTCAGGGTGCTAAGACTTTGCTCTCTTCTTTTTCTTTCTTTTTTTTTTTTTTCATAGTAGTCATCTGTTTACAGATAACTGCTGATCCTTCTTGGTATTGTGTACGTTTCTTATACTGACAAGTTACTCAGTGAGACTAACTGAAAAACCTTGTTACCTCTCTAATGAGGAGAGTACCTCCAATAAGCCTCATAATCTCAAGTACCAAGACTTTCCTAAGATTGAGGGAATCCAGTTTGCTGTTATAAAGATGCTGTAAATAAGCTGTATGCAAAGAAGAACATACTGAACCTCTTTTCTGAAATCCTCCTACTTTGAATTCATGGCTCTTCTCATATGATTCACTTGTTTTACAGATCTGGTTTTCTGAACTTGCAAGGCTACAGGTGTACATTGGCTTCATTGATGCTTAACTTTAGCAGGTGACTTCCTGCTCCTGTGGTAAAACTGGTCTGCTAGAGTTGCCTCCAAGCCATGCCCTTCATTAGGGCCTTCCTGATTGAATTTATTAAAAAGGAAAAGCTTTACATATTGTGCAGTGGCATGTAACTCATCATTTTGCAAGCCAAGAGTGTCAGAGGTCAAAAAATGAGTGATGTTTGAATATGTTATGAGATCTTGAGTTACAGCAGATGCCCTTCTCTCCTCCTCACCTGAAAGTGTCATGGTGGTGAGAGCCCAGAGCGTGAGTACTTTGTGTGGAGGCATACAAAAGCACTGCTTTCTTTCAAAATTTCTTTTACAGTGCCTAGTTCTGGCTTAAGTCTTCCCCAGATGCACCTTGGGGTGATAATTCCTTTGAAAAGACCTCTTCTCTTCCAAAGTCCAGATGATACCATCAGCTCTACATAAGAGGGCCAAGATACTTCAGTCAGCCTTATAAAGGCCACATCCATGTCCTTTCCAGCATCTCTCCTGGAAAAAAATGAGAAACTATTCACTGTCCAGGAGACATGCTGCCAAGGAATGCCTCTGCTACATATCAAAGTATATCTAAAGACAGATATGGATAGATGTTCTCTATCCAGTTTGTAGCCATTCCTGGCTGTAGGCAGAAGGCTGCCTTCCAGCTTTGGATGACTTGTTGGTGCTGGGTAGCACGACGTGATATCTCATACCAAGTTGGAAAACTGATGCTGGTGTCATTTCTGATAAAGTGAAAGAAAACATCAAATGATCATCTTCAGCAAGCAGCCATTTTCACACTTAATGAGCTAGACTGGAGGATATCTCTATGCACTTAAATCAATAGACTTGTCCCAAAATTAGGAATCTTCATAGAAAAGACCTTAAACAACCCAGACCTCCTGTGCCACGTAGTCAGTCTGAATGCCTTGTATGTGATCCTGTGGCCTGCTCTAGCAGCTGAGGATTTCTTTGGGACACGGGTCACGAAGTGCAGAGAAAAGTCCACTTGTAAAGTCTAATCTGGTGTTCAGATATCTTCCCCCTTGTTATGATGTTCATATTCAAGAGGGAGATAGTGCAGGGAGAAGGGAAGTGACAGTTGCATCCCTGGCCAGTGGCTGGTGTGGTACCAGCTTTGTCCTGCTGCTGTGATTGGAGTCCAGGGACACTTTGGATCATAGCCTTACAGGAGGCAAAGGGCTGACTGTCAGTTACTTCTGCTGTTGCTCTCAAGCCCCATATGCGTTTACATGACCTACAATGACATTTTCTTGCTGCTTCTTAACTGATAATGAATTCCAGTGCAGACCCTTATCTGTGAATACCAGAGACTTACTGGTCTTGTCCTAGAAAGGCAGCAGAATGCAAATATTTAAAGAGCCAGCCTCTGAAATGTTCTGGGAGCAGCAGGAAAGAAAGTAAGTCTAAGTCAGGCTTCCTGATGCTCTTGAGTGGCTGCACAATCCCTGCTTTTCTCCTGTTTTCTGGTTCTCCGGCTGCCTAGCACATCTTATTTGATTGTTTTGGGTCAAATTGTGCATCAGTGATGACATGTTTTCATTTTTAGGCAAAACTAGTTCAGCCTTTATTCTCTGAGAATGAAGAAAACAGTGAGATGTGATTTTGTTGTGTGATTTCTCAGAGGAGAGGAGCACACTCAGCTTCTTTGCACCAAGTTGTTTCCTTGGTGGGTCTGACTGGATTTCAAGACCTCAGGGGTCTCATCCTTCAGAGCCTCTCCTGTGAGGAGTTATAGGGATCTTTATAGAGAGTATCCCTTATTGAAGGTGCTATAAGGATTTCACAACTTTTCAGCGGTCTCTGTATAGTGTTGGCTGGGGAGGGAAGATGCAGGCCGATGAATCACAGGGGCTTGGATGAGGGGGCATGGGTCTATGATTGCTTGCTATGATTTTCAAGGAGTGAGGCCTGTTCTGGTGACTTTATCTAGCTGGGACTACTACATCAGTACCAGGTATTACCAGTTTACAGGCAGTTTTGTTCAGCACTATTTTCACCCTCTTTAGGAAGGGACCAACAAGGATCACTGAGTGACTCCTGACTCCACACAGGACCACCAGCAATTCAAACAATATCTCTGAGAATACTTGAATCGAGAGAGTGAGTTGCTTGGATGGAGAATGTATGGGGAGACACAGAGGCTGTGGTTTTGGGGATGGGGCAGGTGATGAGCAGGGACGTAGAAGATGGCAAGGTTTGGGGCAGCCAGGGAGAGACGAATGAGGAGTGAGTGCCACTTTCAGGCTGGTGGCATGGAGAGATGCTGCCTTGGTGAGTGTCTGGCCCTTCTGTCAGCATTACTGAGTCCATGGGCAGATGGGATCAGATGTTGCTGTGACTTTTCCTCCCAAAATTGCCTAAAGCCCCAAGACAGCTTGTGTAAAGGAGAAATAGAAAATCAAAGAGATTATATAAAGATGTTTCCAAACTCTTCTCACCTTACCAAGCTTCAGAAGCTCAACTTCCCCATTTTCTGCCCCAAATTAGCTGAAATTGCTATAATTTGCTATATGTTGGGTGATTTTGAGCACCTAATGCAAATGTTTTTGAATGAGTTCACAAAAGCTTCTTAGGCTTTAATAGCTTCAGGAACAACAACAACAAAAAGAGTATTTGATCTAAACTCAGCAATTTTTCTATGAAAAACCTGGGCTTAGAAAGTCTCCTGCACCGTACAGTGCTTGGCTGTCATGGTAGAACAATGCTGCTGGAAGATGTACTTCCCAAAAGCTTTTGCTGATCCTGCAGATGCTTGGCAGGAGCCTCTCCTCCTCCACAGGAATGTGTGTCTGTAAAAGTGAGGTGCTCGCTGGTTAAATACAGGAGACCAGCTGCCAGCAAATCCCTCTCTGCACCAGCTGCAAGGGGGCTGCAGGAGGAACAGGCTTAGGAAAGGTGAGTGCTTGGTTTTATGAACGGCTGCTCTGTTCTGAAATGCGCTATTTGCAGCCACCACCACTTGTCTGATGGGGAGCAGGTATATAAATGCAACAAGCCAGAGAGATTTCAGGCTTAATAAGAAAAAAAGCCTTTTGTCAAGGCACTGAGCAGCTGTAGGAATTACAGCTCTTTCCAGCAGATGTCAGCTGGGCATTGGCATCAGATGCAGAGGCCACGGGGGGACATTGCAGGGTTTCTTGGAAATGGTATGCATGCATTTCCCAGAATGAAGTACTATGATGGCTCACAGAATGTTCACAGAATATTAGGAAAATCTACCTGCCAGCTAGCTGTACTAATAGCTGTGGGCGCTTTGAAGATCTCGTGTACAGACAGCCCTGAGGAAGGGTAGGACTGCTCTGAATGAAGTGTGAGCTGTACTTGAAAACTATTTTGTTCCTTGTCCCTGGAGCAGTAGAAAATCATTGCGTGCTCATTTGGTTCAGGGTCCTGCTGCCAAGTGTAGTAAGTAGCTGATATGTATGGAAAATACAAGCAGCAGGGTCACTCTGTGGTGATCCCCTTGCTGGAGTGCTCTTTTATCTCCCTTTTGTTAGGGAGGAGGTTCAGCATGTGCTGCTTTAGCTCTTTCTGGTCAAAGGCATTACATATCAGCCAACACCAGGGATGATTCCTATTGATGAGTCTTTACTCCTGCTGTTTTACTCCTACTGTGGGATCTTCTTTACAGAGACAGATGTATGCTGCCTTGGGCATTACTGTAGGCTCCTGGCACTTCAGACTGATGCAAGCAGGTGGCTCCTGGAGATTTTTGATTAAAAATGTTGATTGCCAGCCCTGGAATCAGTGGGCTAGCAACTGGGAAGTATCTTGGGTAGGCTGTTGGTGTCCTGTCCCTGCCCACACCATACATCGTAGCCATTGGGGCTGGGCATTTTGGGTGCTCCTGCGTAGCCTGGGTCCTGGCCAGTGCTGTTTGTGGGAAGAGATTGATGTGCAGACCACATTTGGAGATGCTGGTGGAGATGAGCGTACTGGCCTCTTTTGCAACAGTAGCGCAGGGCTGTTGGCAGGGGATAAGCTTTAGATACCCATCCTGAGGCTTGGAGCAACTGCTGAATGCACTTACTTAAGCTGGGGCATGACATGATCATCAAAACTTTTATCCCATGCCCTTAGGGTCAGCTGGGCTGTGCCAAGAGGCCATGTGTAAAGCAGAGAGATGAATGGTGACCACTTTCTTAGGCAGTTTTCCCCTGAAAAATGGGCTGCTCTTATTCTGAGCTGGAACTGCTGTGGGTGAGAGATGAGGGCTCTGATCCCTGTATGCCCCTCCTGCTGATCCACCACCAAGTGTGGTGGGCAGCATGTGGCCACGTGCCCAGCTCGCTGGCCAGCCAGTCACACGTATCATGATGTCATTCTGCTGAAAAGGCAGGTGACATCTGTTGTCAAGTGACATTTGTAGGACATCAAGCTGGCTGTGATGCAATCCAGACCGCTTCTGTTCACTGGAAACTTTGGGATCAGTTTACAGGCTGTGACACTTAGCAAAATGTTGTGAACTCCATGGAGGGACGAATGCCTGTTTTCTAACCTAAGCCTTAATCTCAGCAAAACATGACTCTTCACGTAGAAGTGACAGTGTGCTCACCTTCCTCTCCCAGCCAGCGTTACAGGAGATGGCCATGTGATTTACTCTCCTCTGTTCAGGAATGAAGTGCTGGGATTTTTTTCTCAAGAATAGCTTTCTTCCTAGGAGCAATAAAAACTTTGGATAAGTCCCTCTGGTTTCCACTCACAGTACTTTCTCTGCTGTATGATGTAAAGAATGTGATGAGCCCAGAATAACATGTATTCTGCCAGAGTGTTTTGTTTTGCTGCTGATTCCTTGTCCCTTGCTGTTCTCCTTGGTCTAGCATTCCTCATGCTGCTGTCTGTCCTTCTCCCCAGGTTACCCGCAGCCGGAGGTGACGTGGTATAAGGATAATGAGGAGATGGACCGCTACTGTGGCTTACCCAAGTACCAGATTTTCCATCATGGAAATCGTCACACCCTGCAGCTGTACAAGTGAGTAGGGAAGCTGGAGAGTAGTTGGATTTGTTGTTGGGAGTGCATTTTATTACTTGGAGAAACTGACTGTCAGTAGTGATCCCCCCAGTGCCAGTGTTTCCTGGTGCAGTGTTCCTGACTGTCTCTTCCTGCTAGCTTTTCTCTCCAGATCACATAAGGATGAGACTTGCACACAGGGATAGCAGTCATGCTGGAGGCAAGAGGAAGGTCAGGAGAAATTCCTCTCCCTGGAGTCTTCCAGTGCTGTAACAGTGTGTGCTATCACAGTGAAAGTCTCGAGCAGAGCGATAAGACTGACTGAAAGTGAGCAAAGGGAAAGCACTGGCTGCATTCAGGATGATGGTTCAGGAATCAGGCAGGATAAGGACAGAAGCAGTCTATAGGAATGTCCTGAGCGAGGACAAAAGAGGGGAAAAGACTGCAGCCTTTCCTCTTTCATAGCTTCCACTGTGAGGTTAGGGAAGGGAAGGGATGCCCAGTCTGCCAGTTTCCTTTTTCTTTAAATGAGGGTTGTGTTTCTGGAGAGTCAGGCACACCTTGTCCCCAGTGAGCAGAGACCTGCTGCATCTTGTGTCTTGGATTTGGGATGTCAGACAGACACCAGTGTTGCTTGCAGTCCTGTGATCCTTGTGATTCCAGTGAGGACTTTTCTGCTGCTCCAGGTTTTCATGGGGGATTGACAGCTCTTGCAGGGAGCTCTGTGGGCTGGGAGTCCAGGGGTGAAAGCAGAAATGGGGTCCATGTGTTTTGTGCCTTTGAAGCGAGATGGAGAGGCTTTGGTAAGGCAGTAGGGTGGAGGTAGAATAGGAATGTAAGAAGCAAAGTTAGGCTATGACAAACTGAGAGGAGAAGATCCCATGAAGGAATGTGGTTGAGAACAGTCAGAAAGCCTAGTGCTGTCTGTAACTCATTCATCATAATGCTACAGTCCAGAGGGAACCAGGCACTGATTTACATGTGAATTGCTTATCTGGTAGTGCAGAGAGCAGGCAGAGCCCAGGGATGGAGGCCAGCATCTTTGTCTTCTGGCCCGTCAGAGCAAGAAGTGGGAAAGGGCATGTGTATGTAGAGAGCTACAGGGGCTGGGGAGGATGTGCAGGTCTCATGCAGAGCTTTTGGTTTCCAGGTGCCGGGAAGAAGATGCAGGCATTTACCAGGCGTCTGCTAGAAATACCAAAGGCATCGTGTCCTGCTCTGGCGTGCTGGAAGTAGGAACCATGACAGAGTTCAAAATTCATCAGAAATGGTTTGCCAAAATTAAGAGAAAGGCTGAAGAAAAACTGCGAGAGATAGAACAGAGCAAGAAGCGAGGGAAAGAGAACGTGGAGGTGGAGAGTTTGCAGAGAATGAGCCCAGATCGGCTCCAGAGAAAGCGGAGGCTGGCCAGGGATCTGAATCTCCGGCCAGGAGCCTCTCTGTGGGAGAAAGAGGATGCAGCGAAAGTCCATGTCACTGATTCTAAATCCAGATTACGAGAGGATGTGGCTGACTCAAGGGAACAGTCAGTAAACACGATGACAGGCTTACCAAGCAAACTGATAACACCTTTGAAAGCAGAGGTGACCACCAATGGAGATGCCTCTTTGGAGAGCGTAGAAGAGAATGGGAATGGCTTTCTTGCCTACATCTATGAGACAGTAGAGGATCTAGTGTCTAAGCCATTGGCCAAAGACTCTGCAGCTAAAAAGAAAAAGAAAGTGGTGGATGCTCCAGCAGCAAAGCAGGAAGTTTTGAAGCGAGAAGAAAGTGGACGAGACAGGGTGAAGCCCTCAACAAATCCAAGGTTTGCCCCCCCTGTCCCCTTACGCAGGAGCGCGCATCTGAGGCTGGCAAGCGATCAAGAAGAGGAAAATATTCCAAAGACGAAAGAGCCTGTGAAAGCTGTGAATCAGGACACTAAAGTTAATGGTGACATGCACTTCTCTTTGAAAGAATTGTATTTTGATAATCAAGTGAAAGAGACAGCGGGGAAAGGTGAGGTGGGAACCAAGGAAGAGGCTGTGAGTGAGGCTGCCCCACGGCCTGTGGGTGTCAGCAGGCAGGCAGAGGATGCTCCATCATCCTCAAATGCAGCACCTGCACCGTCCAAAGGACAGAAAGACCAGCGCACAGCAAAGAAGTCTGAGGGGCACAACGTCATTGGTGCAGAGGTAATTAGAACAGATCACAGCATTGCATCACTGTGTGTACCGCAAGGAAGCTGCTGCTGTGGCTTCTCAGGTCTCCTCCAGCAAAAGCACCTGGAAAACAGCCTGCCTGGGCTTGGTCTGCCCAAAGAGCTGAGCTTCCATCTCTGAATAAATGTCAGATGAGGTGGTGAGGAGAGATGTACGTCAGGCCGTGCAGCCGGACAGCTGGGCCGTGAGTGGCCCGAGGTGTGCTATGAGCCCTCTGGTTTAATCGGCAGGCTGACCTCATACAGAATGTTTCCAAATCAGTTCAGCAGGGAGCAGTGAATGGTTATTTGTAGCTGGGGGTGGATGCCTTGTGTGTACACGAGACTGATGACATCTGTCCAGTTTAGCAATTGAGCCTGGGCTTCAGCTGGCATTTAATGAGCCCTCCCCATGTAAATGAGCGCAGCGTGCCAGGTACTCCACGTGAGCCGCACTGGGCAGGGCACTGAATTTTGTTTACAGTGCAACGTGTATACAGTAGACCTGGGCTATTTTTTGGCTCTCCCCTCTTGGAAAAACTCTTACAAGTCTCTGCAGTGGCAGCGCAAAGCCAAAGTGCTGCACCTGCTCCTGACCCTCACTGCATCTTTTAGTCAACTTCTATTTTTGTCACTTAACCTGAGGCATTTTTCCATGAAAATATTAGACTGGAAGCTACCAGTATTTTTTTTTTTTTCTTCCCTTTAATGACACCTTCTCAGACAAAAGGTTCTCTGAGTTCAATTTGCTGTTGCCATCAGGATCTATTGTTTGAGCAAGGGTAGTTGTCATACTGTCAGTATGAGAGGAGGCACCTGTGCATTTGGCAATAGCCACGATACGGAAAGTGGGACTGCTGGCTGCTCCAGGGGAGGAATATCTTTTCTTCCTCTTCTAGGTTGCATTAGCCATAGCTAGGAACACCCTTCACTGGTAAGAAACCTGCTGTGTTACACAGTCTGAGACATGGGCTCAAAGCAGTGCAGCCCACCGAACCCATCTTTAACACATCACATCAACAGCACATACAGGAGCGTAAATTATCACTGTGATGCACACCCATGGAAAAGCCATTCTTTTTGTCTCTCTCCTGTGTTATTCTGCCCCTTGCTCTGAACGAGGGTGGAATTTGTTGGTGTGTGGCATCCCTGAGCTTTTCACATATATCAAGATATTTTCCTTTTCAAAAATCTGCTCACAGAGAAAAACCTGTAGCTTGTCAGCTAGTGTGCTTTTTGAGTAGTCAAAAGGGAATGCTTCTGATTTGAATTTGAATGCTTCAGTTGGTGGTGCTGGGGAAGTAGTCAGACTTTTGTATGACCAAATAAGCCATATAAAAACTCTTTGAAGCTGACTCCAAGTGTGTTATTTATACTCCCCAGGACAACGATTATTTTTTTCCTCTAATCTTTCTTGTAAACCAGACAGGGTCTTAGCATGTTTTTTTCCTCTTCTTGGGACGTGGCTGGGCCTTGTGGTTAGGACTTCTGCTTGAGTTCTGTAGCAGGACTTTTCAAGATGCCAGCCAGTAACATGCTTTGAAACTGCACATGCACAAGGGTAGCAGTGAAAGTGGATTTGAATGAAGATTACCCTTGGAGTAGTTCTTGCATAATGTTGAAAATGGTGTTTTTATCACATTTCTTTTACATACCTTCAGTTTGGGTGTGTTTTTGTTTTTTCCCCTAAGTCCAAAATGTGGCATCGTAACAGCCTTTGTGAACAAAATTAACTGCATCCCAGCTGAAACCAGGGCAGGCTGCTTCACTGTTGCTTTAGGAAAGGTGTTTTTCCAAAAAGCTCTGCTAAATAAGCTTTAGTTCTTGCACCCCAAAACCCCAACTCCTCTTCAGCCAAACAGATGTCCCTGCTGGCCAGCAGCATGGCATAGAGCTCACTCCTTGTGTCCATCTGTGATCCAGTAGAGACCTCTGGGGAAAAAAAAAACTTGAGCAGCAGGTCCTCTTGAGATCTCCTACCTATAGAACCTCTTGCTTAAGGCAAGTGGAGACTGTGCATGACCTTTTCCTATATGCATGTCCTGATGGTGAGCTGAGCATTGGTCAGGCAGAGCATGCATCAGTGTTATCACCAGCTCCTGTGAGCCTTATCCTACAAAAATAGACAGTGCCCCTTGTCTGGAAGATTTCACCAGTTTTCCTCAGGATAAAGCTCAGCTGTTGCAGCGGGCAGCTTGCTGAAATGTCTGCTGATGTGCAGCTGCAGTCGGAAACATTTGAGCTTCCTGAATGTCAAAGAAACAGGATGGTCAAATAGCACAGATAACGTTAGGGTATACAATTTCGCTGCAAATCATTTGGGCAGCCTCATCCAGATACTGTGTGACATGCCAGTCACCCCATCTCAGAGTAGATATAGTGGCGGGAGGGTACTGACTCTTGAAAAGGAGCATGATGAGTTTCACATAAGACTTCAGCCATGGCTGGTGAAAATAATAAGGTCCTCGGAAAGTCACCATGTCAGAGGAGGTTGTATTTAAAGCCACTGAATGTCCTGCCTCTTAGCTGTGCACAAGCAAGGCACTGAAAGACATTAGATTTAGAGGGTGAAATGGAATGGAAAACCATTTTGTGCGGTGTGACAGGGTGCTGTGGGATGATGGCAAAGCCACGAAGCCCTGGATGAATCATAGAATCACAGAATGGCCAGGGTTGGAAGGGACCTCAAGGATCATGAATCTCCAACCCCCCTGCCACACGCAGGGCCGCCAGCCTTCTCATTTAATGCTAGACCAGGCTGCCCAGGGCCCCATCCAATCTGGCCTTGAACACTTCCAGGGATGGGGCATCCACAGCCTCTCTGGGCAGCTGTTCTAGCACCTCACCACTCTCTCTGTAAAGAACTTCCCCCTGACATCCAACCTAAATCTTCCCTCCCTCAACTTCAAACCATTTCCCCTCATCCTGCATCCTTTCAAAGAGTTGATTCCCCTCCTGTTTGTAGGCTCCCTTCAGGTACTGAAAGGCTGCAGTGAGGTCACCCTACAGCCTTCTTTTCTCCAGGCTGAACAAGCCCAGCTCCTTCAGCCTGTTCTCATAGGGGAGGTGCTCCAGTCCCCTGATCATCTTCGTGGCCCTCCTCCGGACACTCTCCAACAGCTCCCTGTCTTTTTTGTACTGGGGGCTCCGCACTTGGATGGGGCCTCACAAGAGCAGAGGGGAACAATCACCTCCCTGTCCCGGCTGGCCAGCCCTCTTTTGATGGAGCCTGGGATACCATTTGCCTTCTGAGCCACAAGGGCACACTGCTGGCTCATATTAGGTTTTTCATCTATTAAGTGGTGAGTGAGTATCAGTGATATTGGATTTGAATAGCTAAGACTCGTAATTCCAGCAGAAGCTGGGCAGTGCTGCTAAACAGACACAGGTAGTAAAATGGTATTTCACTTCCTGTTTTCTTTTTTGACTAGGTTGTGACAACAGCAGAACCATCTGCAAATGACATAAAACATCCAGTGTCTGGCCCAGCGATAGACAGCAGTCAACAAGCCGACAAGCTAGAGGAGCTCAGGAAAGAGAAACCTGTCTCCCAGGAGACCAAGGGAACTGGGAAAAGAACAAACCCTAGGCTAAGGTTTCAGGAGACACCAAAACCACCAGTTCCATCTGCAGACCATGCTCAGACCGGCGGGGAGCAGCCTGTCTCCAGGGCACAGGCAGAAGGACATTCCCATACTCTTGAGGGCAGAGAGACACAGCAAGGACTGTCAAACCAAGAGGTCAAGAGCCAAGGTACTGAAGAGCCATTGCCAAAGAAATTGAGCCCTCCAGAGCCTGGAGAAGATACTCCTCATGAGAGAAGCACAAATCAGACAGCAGTAAATAATGAGAAGAGCAAAGAGAAAGGTGTAGAGCCATCTGGGAGCAAGCCCTGTACAGAGGCAGGAGGAAGCAGTGTAGCAGCGTTGTCTCCTGAGATGGTAGAGACACCTTTGGGACTTCAGGAGACTGAAACACCAGCTCCTCCTTCAGTTTGTCTGACTGAGGAAAAGCTGATTCCCACTACTGCAGCAGGGACGTTGGTGGTGCAGGAGACACCACCTGCAGCTTGCAGCAGCCAAGGGATGGAGACTTCAGCAGAGGAGGCTCCATCTGGGATCCAGCTGCTGCCTCCTGTGAGCAAAGTCACGGAAACCAAAAAGGCAGATGGAGCTGCCCTGCAGGAGATGTTTCCAACCAGCACTTCAGGGGAGGCAGATGCCACACCGGTGTCTGTGGTACCTCAGAGGGAGGAAGGAGGAATGCAGATGGCCACAACTCCAAGCCAGCAGCCAGCAGTGCCTTTGGGTATGTTTGAAAGCGGTGCTGAGGTTCAGCCACAAGTACCACTCGTCCTGCCTAGCCCTGAGAGACCTCAAGAGATGACTTTGGAGGAGAAAATGCAGCACAAAACCCTTGTTTCCTCGTTGAAGAACTATCTACTGCTGCTTTTACATTTGTCAGATAGCAGTAAGGATGCCACAAAAGAAGATGCTGAGCCCAAGAGTGAGGAACAGTCCGCTACAGAGGAAGCCCCGCTCCCAGCAATAGGCATCGCAGGCCTGAGCCCCCACACCTCAAGGAGGGTTTTGGAAAAGGTACAAAACAATCAGCTCTTCCAGACAGCTGAGAACTTGCCTCTGACCCCCAGGACATCCAGACGGATCACAGGCATGATTAACGAGGAATTCATTACCAGCAGGGAGATGCTGGCTTGCAGGCCTGTGCCACCAAAGAGACGCACCAAGATGGCTCCTGAGGCAGAGGGGCCACTTCAGCTCTCTGTGCCCTCCATCGTGGTGGGCAGTGTGCCAGCAGCAGCGGTGGGGCAGTCTTCTCATAGTGTACCCAATTTGCCTCCTGTGATCTCTGAGAAGGAAGGCCCTGCTGACTCTCTGGCAGTGCTCCCTTGTGCCACACCAGAGGAACTTGCTTCTGGGGCCCGGCGCAAAATATACTTGCCGAAAACCAAGCAAGTTGGGGAGGAAGAGGAAGTAAGCCCGGAGAGCCAGGGGCATGCAAGAAGCCCTTCTGTTTCACCACGGCAATCCAGAAAGAGCGCAGCCCTGTTGCAGACACCTGCCCTAGCTCCATCCCCTCCTACAGAGAAGCGCTCACCAACCCTCACAAAGAAGATGGCTACGCTGGAGGTTCCTAAGTTGTATGAGGAGCCCACAGGTGACAGCAGCAGAGACCACGAAGTCCCTGAAGATGCTAAGCCAGAAGAGCAACCAGCAGAGTCCAATAAAACAAGTAACCCATTCAAGGGTAAGGAAAGATGTAATCCCCTTGATGCTTACTAAAAGTCCCTGATCCATGGCCAATAAGAGCCAGTTGTGATGATATGAGTTTGTAAATTTGCAAGGTTTTCAGCATCACCCTTTAGCAACATGAAAATCAAAAGTCTATCCCAAGCATGTGCTGGGTAAGTTGAGCCAGATGCTCATCTGTCTGAGTGCAGGAGGTGCACAAACACATATCCTGTAACAAAACCAATAGGCCTCCCATTACTAATTTGAGCTGTGGTGACAGTGAGTTAGAAGGGACTTCATCCTGGTGTTGAGGTGCTTACTGGAGCCAGTCACACAGAAATTCAGCACTCACGCAAAAGTAAACATCATATTGCTAAATCTCTACTTTAGTAGATCTGTATTTTCTGCTACATTGCCTAGTGTTGTTCTGCGTTGCTTCTGGCTGAACCCCTCTAAGCAGTGCAGTGCTGTGCCATTGAGAAAGTTTGTACCACTTACATCCTATCATATTTAGAGTTTTGAGACCTTCCCTGGAAAGGTGATGTTGTACCAGGTGACATTGTGCTGATGTACTCATGATACTTAACACCAAAGTCCTAAGCAGCAGCACTGGGGAAGGTTGGCCTGTCCCCAGAGCTGCAGCCAGCATCATGTCTTTCACCATCTATCTCTTTGCACCCTGTTCTTAGCTCCACAGGTGATTCGTAAGATCAGGGCCGAACAATTTTCTGATGCATCAGGAAACCTGAAACTTTGGTGCCAGTTCTTCAATATTTTGAGTGATTCTAAGCTGATGTGGTACAAGGATGAGATCCCTGTAGCAGAAGCACAAAGGAGGTAATCTTCCAGCTCCGCTTAGTTGTAGTTCTTGTGCATAGCTCTGAGTTTGTGCTCTGGCTCTTGTGTTTACTGGGAAGATGCCTCTTATGGCTGCACGAGAAGCTCATTGCACAGCATGATCTGCTGTGAACCATATTTTCTTAGTGCTGGGAGTTGGGAGGGTTGCCCACATAGGCACCTGCTGCCCCACTGATACTTTGTATGGAGTCTGGCTCAAGAGCTGATGCTTTTTACTAGCAGAGACCTGGGGAGGGCAGGAGTTGTTCTGAACCTTGTGTAGGGCAGGGAAGGTGCTGTGCCCATTTTAGAGCTTGAGAGCTGGGAGCAAACTACAGAATTGGGACTCTAGTTGCTTCCTTGCAACCCAGATGGCAAAAAAAAAAAAAAAAATCGGCTGATTCCACCCTGTCTGCCACCTTTACTATAGGAACTGCCAGCCCAGAGCTGCAGGCTGGAGAAGCCTGGCATTCTGCTGATGCAGACGTTGTGCTTTACTCGTTCCTTGGAGAGAGAGTTGTGTCTGTCCTCACTCCTGAATGCCTGGAAGCATGGCAGGAAGCAGGACACTCTGTGACTCTTTGGCCTCCAGCCATCCCACCCAAACAAGGGTTTATTAGTGCAGCAACAGCCCTGACTCAACTGCCCTTAGAGACAACTACCTTTATCAGCATGTAGCCCAACCCCAGCATGAGTTTGCAGGACTGGAGATCTTGCACTGCTAAGAATGTGAACAGTAGAGCTGCTGCAAGGTGCCAGGAGAGCAGCTGGTGTGCTCCTGCTTTCCTGCATGCCCATGGGCTGGTTTTGTTTTCATGCCCACACTCCAAAAGCTCCAGGACCCCAGGTGCCTCTGCACGCTGCACAGGGCTGACCCCCATACTCTGATTTCTTCCAGTGCTGGCGATGAGGGCCAGGCAGCCTTGGCCATTGTGCAGGCATCCCAGAAGGACTGTGGAGTCTACCGGTGTGTGATCAGCAATGAGTATGGCACGGACTCCACTGATTTCCTGCTCAGCCCAGAAGGTGAGGTGCCCTCAGCAGCCTGGTGGCTCTTACAGCTGTTTGATCGGCCCTGAGGCAGGGTGAGATCCTGGCAGAACTCTGACTCTTCTCCTGCTTTGTGTCTCCTCCAGTGTTGTCAGGATTTATCTTGCGGGAAGAGATTGAAGGTAAGGATGATGTGCTGATGAGTTGCTGCCCTGGCCACCCGGCCTTGCTGTGGGATGGGCAGGATGTGCCTGTGTTGTCCCTCCTCACCAGCTCTTCCCTCCACCAGTTGGAGAGGAGATCGAGATGACACCCATGGTGTTTGCAAAGGGCTTGGCTGATGCGGGCTACTGGGGAGATAAATTCTTCGGGCGTGTGATGAGCGAGGACATGGAATTGGGTGCTGGCTTCCTGCGCAAAGCCTGCCGTGCCAGAGCCATCTATGGCCTGGAGCCTGTCTTTGAGTCTGGCTGCACCTGCATCATCAAAGTGCACAATTTCATTGTCTTTGGGACCAAGAACGAGAACAGCCTCATCGAGAAGAACTATGATATCACCATCCAGGTGGGCACTGTGAGCTATAGCCCTTTTGGGTCTCCCCTGGTTTTGCCATCTGTCTGTATCGTAGTACCCAGCTTTCTTAATTTCTTTCCACTTCTGAATGCTCTGATTGAGTCAGGCCATGTCCCTGGCAATATCCATGTTCTTCAGCCCTTCTCTCTGTGCAATGCAGAGCTACTCAGATCTTTCACTTGTCCTTTGACTGCTGGGACAGGGGAACAACTGGCAGTGATCCCAAGGGTTGCATTCTCTAGTAGAGGGGTCTCACAGCTTTGGTGTGGGCTTGTTGACAGAAGGCAGGGAAGGGCCCTGACTCTCCTGCTTGAATCTCCAGGAATGTAAAATCCAAAACTCCAGTCGTGAGTACTGCAAGATCTTTGCTGCTGAGGCCCGTGCTGTCCCTGGTTTTGGAGCAGTGCCCGAGTAAGTACGGTGCTGCAACTCTGCTACCTTGACAGTGGAGCAAAGTATCTAGGGAGATGGTGGGAGGGTCCCCTGTTGGGCACTGGGGACATCCCAAAGGGCAGCACCCTCTTCTCCCACTCTCATGTGGGAAGGATATGGGGAGGAAGGCAAAAAATAGATGCAGATCTCTGCTGAGGTGGAAAAGTTCTGCAACTGGTGCTGACCCCTGCTGTGTGCTGCCACACAGGATAGTTCCTCTGTACCTGATTTACCGACCGGCCAACAACATCCCTTACGCCACGATGGAGGAGGACCTGGGTGGGCCCTGTGAGCAGTACTGTGTCACTGAGAGAGATGGCAGCTTGGTGGCTCGAGGCACCTCGGAGATTGTGCTCAAATGCTGCACCTTCCAGCACTGGGTCTACCAGTGGACAAATGGAAACATCCTTGTGACTGACATGGAAGGTAAAGGGATATTCCAGTGATTCTATAATTCCCACCTGATACCTGTGGCTCTTCACCACTCTTGCAAAAGGAGGAGAAATAGCTCCAGCCTTGCCCTCCTGCCTGTTTCCGTATGTGCCTTGGAGCCCTGCTCAAAGAGTGGTTGTGGTGCCCATCCTTGCCCGGGCAGGAACTGGTTGTTCCTTTCTTTGCAGGAGTGGGCTGGAAGATGACCAATGTGCGGATAGCTACCAATCTCAAAGGGTGAGTAACTCTTTAACTGCTAGTGTAGGTTGTCCCCATGTTGACCCCAGCTCTGCCGCTTGTGTGATGGTCCTCGCCAGCTGGTGGGACATCTCCTTGCATGAAGGGGAGCTGAGTGTTGCTGTGTTGCAGGTACCAGGGGCTGAAGGAAAGCTGCTTCCCCTCTCTGTTGGAGCAGTTTGCTGCGACTCACCAGTGCAACCATTACTGTGACATCCTGGGCCTGAAGACTTTGGAACCGGTCAAGCCCAAAGGCTCCAAGAGCCCCTCCATGGGCAGGAAATCTGCCCAGTCCAGCCCCCAGCTTCAGAAGAAGGGGACGGCAAGTCCCCAGGGCACCCGCAAGACTACCGTGAGCCCCAGGAGTGCCCGCAGAATGGCAGAAGCAGCGGAGGCCCAGACAGCCTCCAAACCTGGGCCTGCCGAGGCTGGCGGGCCTACATGCCCACAGTAGCCGTAGCTATATTGGTGGGGACCCTTGCTGTGCCAGAGCAGGCCGGAGGCACTCCTGCCTTTGGCTCTTGCCCCAGCTCGTGACATTTGTGTTGTGTGATGTGTGCTAGTGCGAGCCACCTGGCTGCCTTTGCAGCAGAGCCAGCACAGCCATGGGCATTGTGGTGCCTTCTTTCACAGGTTTCTCTACAGAAGCTGCTGCCAGCTGTGGAGACTGTGGGGCTGTGCACACCCCTGAACTGGGGCTTTTTTTCTTTTCCCACCTCTTCCCCTTTTTGCTTGAGCATTTGAAGCCATCAGACTGGCTCCCTGGGCTTTGACATTGCCATGCCCCTTTCCTAGCAGTGTCCCAGTACTTCCCTGAGCATGGGGCTCTCCTTCCTCACAGCTTTTTCTATGCTGTCCTGACACATGCTGCTACTCCTGTCCCTCTTCATGTCCTCTGTAAAGCCCAGCCAGTGCTTGGTCTCCAGGATGTGAACCAAAGCAGAGTCCCACAGGTCCCTTGCATGCTGATTGCAAACATTTCACTCCAGTGAGGCTCAACGGAGAGCTGCAGCACTTGTGCTTGCCTGCTGCTATTGCTTGGGCTTCTGGGGTGTGGGTCAGCCCCATGGCAGAGTGTTGGTGGCTGCATGGGGTGGGGGCTCGCACACCTCTCCTCCCAGCCTCCCCTGCCCGGGTGGATGCTGAGGGCTGCGGTGCTGCTATGGGTAAGGATGCTCTACCTCACACAGGGTGCACAGAAGTGGGGCACTGCTGTCACACGAGTGTAAACCCCCTACTTAACACGTACCCCAGTGGCAGCATCCCTGGTGCAGGATGGAGGCCGGTTCTGGAGTCAGCAATGGACAGGCAGTGGTGCTCACACTGCAAAGTAAAGCTCCCTGCATTGGGTCTAGCCTCTTTTGTCTCGCCGCAGAGCATGGCTAACACCATTGCCACACTAAATATGGCAGTGGTGGTGGAATCTGAAACTGGCTTGCTGCAGCCTGGCAAAGGAGGGAAGGGAGCGTGGTGTGCTCTGGGGCCCTGGTGCTTTGTTGTTGGGCCGCTGTAAAATGATGGGGTACATACGTGTCCACCTTGGTGACTGGGGGTGCTCAAGTGCAATAAAGCAAGAAGGACTGGCCTGTTCCCCCTGTGCTTCCTGCAGAAGAGATGCATCCAAGCAAGGCAGAATGGGACAGCTTGTGTTTGGGAAAGGAAATGGCTTCAAGTGACATCTCTACCCCATTCATACCTGCCACAGGGGGAAGAGGATAGCGTACCTTAAGGAGACACCTGATGAAGGCTTGGCTTGCAGGGTTGCTAGCAAACAGCAGCTCTGGGGAGCTCCGCAGTGGGGTGCAGCCCCAGCAAGACATCCCACACCCTGTGTCTATAGAACAGCTGAAGTCAGGACCAGAGAGGAAGCAGAGCACAAGCATGGGGATTTCTGTAGTTTATTTGGGATCAGTTTCCCTCTGTCCATGGGGCCAGCATCTAGCTGGTTGCAAGGTGCATGGTGCTTTCTGTCAATCTGTTGGGGATTTTTCTGCCTCTGAGGCCAGACCACAGACCGCAGTGCTCCTTGGGGCCGGTATCTCTGGGTTCATGCCATGCAGGATGTGTGGTTGTAGTGCCCGCAGCACTGTGTCAGGCATGGCAGGCTCTCTGCCACGCTGGCCCAGGCTCCAGTAAAGGAGAGCGTCCCATTCTCGAGCACCGTGCTGCAAAGAGAGAGGCACAGTCAGGGTAAGAGCTGTCCTGCCAACCCCACACCAAAAGTGATGGTTCAGATGCTCATGCACCTCAGTCCCCAGGCAGGATGGCACAGCTCCAGACCCTTCCTGTCTCCCTGCTACACACCCACCTCGCAAACAGCTGCTTGCAGCACGTGTATATGGCATAGTTGGTAGAGGTGAAGTTGGCGGTGCTAAGGATGGTCACGCAGTTGCCCATCTCTGTTGGCACATAGAGGAGGCCTAGGAGACAAGGCCTCCTGGTTGGGGCTCTGAGGGACTGGGCACTTCAATCCCATACCCGGACAGTGCCGTCCCTGCACTGTGCTTGCAGGTCCCACATATCACATCCCTCCCACCAGTTGCAGCAGTGATGCCAGGGAGCTCCTCCCAAAGCTTTAACAGCCACCCTCAAAATGTCCCAGCTGCAGCCCAGATGAGGGTAAGGAGCCCCAGCAGAGCTATGGGATCTGGGGGACCCTAGTGGAGAGCAGAGCGTTTGAAGGCCCTAACAGAGCCATGGGGGCAGCCAGCCTTCCCCATCCCTGCAGCGGCACTTTCAGCTGTGTTCAGCTCTTTGCCCAGCCCTGTCTCCTCCCAGTGGCAATGGGCAGGGACCTACCTGCCAGGCAGGAGTTGAGCATGGAGACACAGATGCCTGTGAGCAAGGCTCGCAGCACAATGGAGGCCAGCTCGCTCTTGCGGTGAGGAACCATGGAGGCTGCAGGGGCAAAGCAGAGGCTGGGGCAAGACAGATCTTTGCTTTGGCTCTGCCTGGGATTTGGGACAGATTAGACAAGTCCCAAGTCCCCAGGTGGCCCTGCCATCTACTGCTCTGTCATTAGAGCCCTCTGGGGCCTCTATTCTATGCCCCATGGCTCAGTTGGTGAATGTGTGGGATGTACAGGTGACCTACACCATGGATGTGGAACAAAATCACCTTGTGCAAGCCCCGTTTCTTACCTGCATGCTAGTAAGAGACTGAACACCAAGGCCTGAAGGCAGCTCCCATTCCTTAGGTCCCACTGCCCCATACCCAGGTACCCAGAATGTGGGTCACACTCACTCAGGCCTCCCAGCATGATCCCAATGGAGCTTAGGTTGGCGAATCCACAGAGTGCAAAGGTGGTGATGCTCTCAGCACGCTCCTGGAGGGCACAGAGGCAGAGGATGGTCACCTTAGTCCCACAGCAGCCTCACAGCACGATGTTATAGTTCCCAACCCAGCCAGCTGAGATGGAGACAAGCCCCATCCCAATTCTTTCTCCTTTAGCTTTTATAGAAGCAAGGGACAGGTGAGGGGCAGCTTGCCAATGGGAGAAGATGGACTGGCAGCAGGCAGAGGTCCTAGAGCATCACAGTCTGGCCCTCTGGAGGGCAGGACCAGTGGGACATGGTTTCACTGTCATCTTCAGAATGACCCCACACCTAGCAGTGATGTCCAAATCTAAATGGCCACAGGTGCCCCCCCACATCCCCAGAATAATGATGCCCCTCCTTGCTGCTTAGCGCCCAATCTGGCCAGGTTCCGTGCTTCATTTCAGTTCCATCCCTGCCCTATACACAGCAAGGTGGTGGTTGCCCTCACAGATATCCACTGCTTCCTGCCCCCGCTCCACTCCTCCAGGCCTGACAGCCGGTTCTTCTTGTACGTGGCTAGCTGCTGGTACGCCACAAACTCATTCAGGAAGATCTTGATCCCCAGCAGCTCTGCCACCAGCGGTGAGTCTGCCCAGTCTGCCCCCATGAGAAAGGCCACAGGCATGAGGATGTAGGAGCAGATCATCTAGGAAGAACATCCCGGGAGGGAACAGCTGAACCTTTGTAGAGCCCCTGGCTTGGACACCTACTGCCAGGGATCTAATCAGGCATTGGGTAGAGGTGGAGATGGGTGGGAAACTTGAGGGTACCTGGAAGGAGAGGTCTTTGATTTCCACCATCTCCCCAAACCAGCGCAAAGCAGCGTTGATGAACTCCAGCACAGCCAAGAAAGCGATGAGGTTGGCTGCAATGTTGGCCACGAGTCCTATGGAGGCAGCAGCCCCATTGCTGGCAGCTTCCAGGATGTTCCGCTCTTCCCTGGAAGGAAAGAAATCCTGCCAGGATCACGTTGCCAGTCTCACTCTGCAGACCTCACTACAGGGTCTCCAAAATTTGTGCCACCTGCAGTGCCCAAACTGCACCCACAGCTGCCCCATGCCATCCCTCTGCTCCCACTTACCCACTGGTGATGCGAACGCTTTCTTTGCCCTTGAACTTGGACTCTTCCACTTCAGGGTAGACCAGTTTGGACATGGCAAGGGCACAGGGTGCAGCCATCACAGACGCTGCAATCAGCGATGCTGCATCTATCTGCAACAGGCAGACTGTGGGCTCAGACCCTGTATGAGGCTGCCCAAGCACGTGGCCAGCAATGCTTGGAGCAACCCAGGGCGCTCTGCTCAGTCAGAGTGGGAAGGTGTGCCTGTTTTTCCCATCTTAGCCACTGAGGATGCAGAGGGTAGCTCATCTGGATGGAGACATTGCTAGAGCCACAGTAGTCGTAACATTCAGAGATGTTAATCTCTCTCTTGTTTGACTTCACCTTGATGATCCTTGCCCCCTCCTTACCCCTTTTATCAGTATCAGAGCAAGAACATTGCTGACTTCTACCTAGTGACGAGCAGCTGAGCTCCCAGTGGGAGCAGTGTATCACAGCCACAGCCTTGTTACCCCGCCCCTGCCCTCTGCACTGCAGTTTCTCATTTTTCTGTCCTTTCACCCTTGGCTCCCTGTTTAAGGAGACTAATTAATGTTTACATAGCAGGAGCTCAGCCAGCAGGTTGAGGCCACATCCGGATATCACAGTTCTGAGACAGTGAGGAAACTGGTGAGAGCATCACTGGGGACTCAGGCAAGGAGGTGGACCAGAGACCCCACCCAAAAGGGCCCTTCCAGGGTACATTATTCCATGGTGCAGTGACATTTGCCCTGATTGCTGCGGAAGGATTCTGGGGTTTTGACAAGGCCAGCATGAGGGCATCTCATTTATGGAGGGAGACCCACAGTGGGGTTTCTTACCCCACATGCCCAGGGCAGTTCTGGCACGCCATGACCCTTGAGCAGGGAAAATGAGGCATATAGCTGCTTGTGTTCTCACCCCAAAGGATATGTAGGCTCCCATCACACTGCCTGCAATGGTGGAGAAGCCACCAGCCATCACGGCGTGGATCTCAGAATGGGTCATGTCTGCAAGGTATGGGCGGATGAGCAGCGGGGCTTCAGTCTGTGAGAAAGAAAAGCCTCTGCTGACACCACACAGGGCTGTGGGTCTCCTAGGAAGGGAGGAGAATACCCTTTTTCTGCCATCAGGAGCTGTTTAGGAGTTGGATCGCCTGCCACAAGCCTTACCTGTCCCACAAAGATGTTCCCTGCCACGCTCAGCGTCTCAGTAGGCGTGGTGCCCAGTGAGACCTGGAGGAGCCAGGAGATCTGGGGGAACACAAAGCCACTGTGTTCACAAAGACACCCACCCCATGAGGCCAGCAACTCCAGCCTGCCCTTGCCAAGCTGCACAGGGATGATGTCCAGGAGTGCCCACAAACCAGGGAGTATCATCAGCCTCAGGTTTGGGTAAGAAAGAGGAGGTTGTTTCTATCACTTCAGCAAGACAGATCAGCCCAAATTAGTACCACCCCAATTTTCTTGGGACATCCTTTAGCTTTTCACAAGAACTGCAGTAACCGGCAGGTCCTTCTCCTTTCCACCACCATCAAAAAGCTAGGCCCTACCTTGAGGATGAGCCACTGCATGACACCCAGGTAATAGAGGATGGACATCACGCAGCTGAAGAAAACGATGATGGGCAGACTCTGTAGACAAGGCACCGGGGTGTGAGATTAAACAGGTGTTGAGCAGCGCATTTCAAGTACATTTGGGCATGGTGTGATGTTGCACAGCCACCCCACATAACACTGTAGAGGAACAGGGACCAGTGCGAATACCCCATGGCATGCAAGAGGCCCATGGGTGCACACAAAGCATTCTTGAGCTGGTCGAACTCTGGCTAAGGCCAGAAGAAAAACCAGACTCTCTCTCTCCTTCCCTGTACCCCATTCCACAAACTGACCTGAAATGCAAAGACGTCTTCAATGAGTGTATTCCCAAAAACGAAGCCAGAGCCAGCTTTGGTATAGCCCAGGAAGATCTGCAAATGGTGATGTTACATGGTAGGAGTGAGATGTCCATGAGCTCTTCTCCCAGTATCTCTTTTACCTAGCAGTGGACTGCCCCTTCACCCCACAGCTCCCTCGCCCCAGCAGACAAACCTAAGCTGGGAATACTTAGTATGGTGTCTTTGAGTAATGGGGCACTGCTGCAGCTCCTGCAAGGGATACCACACCAAGGGGCCTGGGCTGTGCTAGAAAACCAGAAAAGAGGTGGCTTTTCTCTAGTGTCATACAAGGGGACGGCTGCTCCTCCAGCCTGTACTGCCCTCAGCTCTTCTTACTGGTCTCAGGACCTACATGGAGGACTGAAGCATGGGATGGGGTGAGCCGGAACAGTACCTGGATCTGGTCACCCAGCCACTGGAAAGCTTGGATGCCAGGGGTTGTTCGAAGGATGAAGAGTCCAATTAAAAACTCCAAGCCAAGACCCCAGAAAACAACTCTCCAGGACACCTGGGGACCAATAGCAGAATGGTGACTGAGGTGTTAGCAAAGCCTTCAGACTTACCTCTCTGGATTCCTGCCCATTCAGTGACTCTTGGGTGATGGTCATGCTAATAAAGTGTCACAGAAACCCACAAACTTGGGTTGGCAATAGGGGAGGAAGACAAGTTGGTGAGAATCAGGAAATGGTTGGTGCAATGGAGGAGAAGAGCACAAAGACCTTCAGGTCGTTTGACTGGTAGTACAGATCCCTTACTGTGCGCTCACCAACGCTTTGGAGGAAAGGGCTGGAGAGGTTGTCCAAAACATTGGAAAAGGTTGGACTGAAAGCCATTGGGACTTCAGTCACTTCTGCCCAACCCACCAGGATGTTCCTTGGCCCACAGGCACCTGAAGCACAGATTTGGGTATGGGTATGAGAGCTGTGGTAGAAAATAGGACAGAGGTAACATGGGGAGCCCCAGGTTGAGCAGTGGGAAGGAGAGCAGCAGGGTGGCGTTGGGGCTGCAGCACCCAGCTCTGCTCCCCAAGCTGTGTCCAGATCTGCCCTGGGAGCTTCTACTTCCTGCAGAGAGCCCATGAATTTCTCCTGTGCCACCTCTTGTGAGGGGAGCAATGGTCAAGCCACACCTGAAAAACGTACTGCGCTGTGGTGCTTGGAGAAGGCAAACAGGAAGAGCACCAAAATGCAGAAGCCAGCTAAGGAGATGAGCTGCTCTGGATTCTTGGCCGTGTCCAAAGCCAGCCACGTCACCAGGCCTCCCAGGAGGAGCACATACAGCAGCCTGCAAAGAAACTCCCAAACTGTCACAGAGAGGCAGTCCCCACGGGGAGCAGCTCAGAGAGAGCAGGAGTTGACTGTGTGGGAGATGTCCTGCCTCCTCCCTGCTCACCACTTCAGCCATGGCCAGGACTTCTGCAAGCATTTCCAAAGGGGGCTGAGGAATGTCAACACCTTCTTCCCACAGTACTTCTTGAAGAGGCTCCAGCACACGAAGAAGATGACCACAGCAGTGATAACAACCAAGGTGAGGGCTCGCTGGAAGTTGAGCCAACATGCCACAATGAAGTAGCACAGGTAGACTGGGGAAGGCATGCAGGGGTCAGAAACATCAGGATCATGAGATCACGGATTCACAACACTAACTGGGGACAACAATGAGGTATGCTTCCTCCAAACATCCTTCCCTGGCCACCCTAGAGGCTCTCCTTTGTGTATGGGATGAGGAGGAAGCCGACTGTGGGGCTGATGATATGCAGCCTCCACGTGGGCGGCAGTGCCTAGATGCTTGCATGGGCAGCCAAAGGGGTGTGAAGGTGGTGGGAAGTCCTCACCTGCTCCAAGGAGCCCCCAGAAGACCCTTCGCAATGCCTTGGCATGAGCCTTGCAGAAGCTCTTTGCCTTGGAGGCTGGCTGCAGGGCCTTCCTGAGAGAGTGGACAGAAGAGGTGGAGGTAGATCTTGCAGATCAGCCCAATTTTGAGCTTGCTGTGACCACTGGAGATATTTCTGTGCACGCATCTCCAGGGATTACCCTACCTGCAGTATGAAGCAACTCTCCCATTCTCTTCTCCTCTCTTCTTCTCATTCCCACAATGTGGACTTTCACGTTCCTCACAGAGCTCCTCCACACTCTGGAAAACATTGTTAGCCAGAGCGCCCCAAGCAGCTCCTGTGCCCCAACAGGGAGTGAATGGGGAGGTTTACCAGGGAGCTGAAAGCAGGGTTGTCTGTGCCCTTCTCAAGGTTGTCCAGGCTTATCTGGCTTCCTTCCATCTCTAGACATTCCATCTCTAGACGTTCCATTGCTTCACTGTGCTAGAGACACAGCATGGTGAGTGACTCACTGGCTGGGGAGACAAAGCCTTGGTCAGTGCCAGAGGGACAAATGTCTGCCCCCAGTTTTTGGTCTGGGGTCTCTGGGGAGAACAGCCTTTGCAGGAAGGATTAAGAGCAGCTCCTGTGCCAGCAAATTGAGTGGCCATCCTGTAGGGCCCTCCAGCTGCAGGGCTGGGTGTGCTGGCCCACTGTTTCCCTGCCATCTGGGAGGGTCTTTGCTCTCCCCTGCTTCCCAAGGACTACAGGAAAGTGTTAGACCTCAGAGATGCAGTGAGGAAGGCCAGCACCCCTCCTCCAGGGCAGAGCCCTTTACAAAAATGGGAGATTTTGTACAAACTAAAATTGGCCGCCTCCCTCACCAAGAGCTCCCAGTGAAAGCAAGTGCCCTCCAGTCAAGAATAAGGAAGAAAGTCTCTTCATGCTGGTGACAGGAACAGGGCAGGAGGAACATGTAGGAATAAATAGAGAGTTGCACGGGGACAGTTTTAAAGGAGGATTGTGCTGGGAGAACTGGTTCAGCAAAGCAAGAAAAAACAGTGTTAGCGAAGCACAGAACTCCTGGAGCATCCCGTTGGGACGTCTGTGCCTGGAGAAGGATGGGAGAAAATCAGAGCAGCCACAGGGAAAGCAATGGGTGACCGCGGGAGGACAGGGGGAGCATGAAGGGTCCTCACGTGGGGACAGCGAACGAGGGAGAGAGGGCAGGGCCACCCTCGCTTTGTTGCAGTGAGGGTGCACTGTGGGCAGCAGAGCCCCTCGAGCACTCCCAGGGCTCGGGACCCCAGAGCAACATCCACTACCCAGAAGCCCCCTAGGCAGCCCCAGCGCCCCACCACCAACCTGCTGACGCTCCCGCAGCCCCCGAGCGCGGCCACTCGCTGCCCCCTCGGCTCTCACGTCTCGTCCCCGCGCTCGCACTCCGTCCCGCAGCGCCCGGTCCCGGCCCCGGCCCCGCAGTTACCCATTAACCGCTCGGTCCAAAGAGCTGCGCCCGGCGCCCGGCCCTGGAGCGCCCGCAGCAGCACCGCAGGGATCCTCCCGCCCCGCTAAAATAAAAAACAGCAAAACAAAACAAAAAACACTGCAAGAAGAAATAAAGCTGGGGAAACGCCGCAGCCGTGCAAAACCGTACAATGCAAAGGGACGTGGTGGTGCAAAGCTGCACCGCGCAGATGGATGCGGGACGGACGCGTGCGAAGTCGGGCACCATTTGTTCAGCCGGAGCGCAACGAGCAGCGCTGTGCCGGTGCCCGCGGGTCTCGCACCACGCTGCCGCAGCACGGCGGGGTTCGGCCACGCGCTTCCAGGCGCGCGGAGCCGTGAGGGCCGTCCACCCGCAGAGCAGGCCGGGGGCACCGCGCAGCCCGCCCGTCCTGAGCGCCGCGCCCGCCCGCATCCCTTAAGAGCGCCGCCGGCGCCGAGTGTGCCCAGAGCCCCGGTAGCGCGCCGTGATCGTATAGTGGTTAGTACTCTGCGTTGTGGCCGCAGCAACCTCGGTTCGAATCCGAGTCACGGCATCGCCTCCGCACGGCGGTACCACGGCACACGGGCTTACGTTTTCTTTTTCGCCGTATATCTCGCGCTCGCTATCTCTCTTTTTTAAGTCATTTTCTCCTTTCTCGCAGCGGGTCCTGCATTCCCACCCGCTGCGGCTCTCAGCATTCGCCATTCGGAGGAAATAGATAAGAAACAGAAGAAAAAAAAATTAGGAACTAGATAAGGAAAAGAGAAAAAAAGAGGAGAAAATAAGAGGAAAAAGACGCGAGCCCGTGTGCCGTGGTACCGCCGTGCGGAGGCGATGCCGTGACTCGGATTCGAACCGAGGTTGCTGCGGCCACAACGCAGAGTACTAACCACTATACGATCACGGCGCGCTACCGGGGCTCTCTACCTCGCTGTCGTCTGCACAGCTCTTACGGCTGAGCCAGGCTGATCTCACCGTGACGTCATTGCCCCGCCCCGCCGTGCTTTGACAGGGGAGGGTCGTGCGCTGTCTCCATGACGATGCAGGGTGAATGGCAGCTCCATCCGCCAATCGGCTGCGGGCCCCTGCGCGGGCTCTGCCGCGGGACCCGGCCTGACCCTGCCCGGCCGTCAGCTCTCTGTATCCTGCTGCCGCTTCTGCTCCGCGCCTCGCCTGCGCCCAGCCCCAAGAGTTCGGAGGTGCGGAGGTGCGGAGGAAGGTGCGGTGGGCATTTCCTGATCTCCCTTCGCCTGCATCCATCTCTTCCTTCCCTCGGCTCCTTGGTGTCTGTGCTCCGGGAGATGCTCTGGAGGACGCCGACCCGGCAGCGCTGGGTCTGACGGATGAAGCGCCCTTTGGGGTATCCCAGAATAGGGCCCCCAGCACAGGAAGGGTGCAGAGCTGCTGGAGCGGGGCAGAGGAGGGCACGGAGATGCTGCGAGGGCTGCAGCACCTCTGCTATGGAGACGGGCTGAGGAGCTGGGGGTGTTCAGCCCAGGGAAGAGAAGGCTGCGGGGAGACCTCACTGCGGCCTGCCAGCACTGGAGGGGAGCTCACAAACAGGAGAACCAACTTTTTACATGGGCAGAGAGAGATAGGACAGGGGGGAGTGGCTTTAGGCTAAAAGGGGGAAATTTAGGTGAGATGTTAAGAAGAAATTTTTTACTCAGATGGTGGGGAGGCATCATAACAGGTTGCCTGAAGAGCTGTGGTTGGCCCATGGAGCCCTGGGCAGCCTGATCTGAAGAGTGGCAATCCCGTTCAGGGCAGATGGGGTTGGAACTGGGTGAATTTAAGGTCCCTTCTAACCTAAGCTGTTTTACGCTTCTGTGATTCTCAGGCTGAGCTCAGTGCCTGCTATAGCCTTGATCCCGGTTCTTAGCCCAGCATGGTATTCACCTGACTGTGTGCCAGGCGCTGCGCTCTGAGTGCACGTGGAGCTGGTTTCTCTTTAGGTAGGCCTGATGGGGCTCATGCTTTGCATGCTTAGCCATCAGAATAGCGGTGACCTCAGCTGCTGGAATAGGAACCGTGGAGATAAACATTGTGGTGATAAGGAGGAACTGGCCTAACATGGAAGAGAGCAGAGAGGTGGCAAGTGGATGCAGAGATAAAAGTTCTGAGGGCCTGGCTGGTGTGTAAAGAGGAGGCTTGGAGCTGCTGTCATCCGTCACCGGCATTGCTGGCCCTGTCCCACCAGTGCTTCCTACCAATGGACTGCTTTTCCCCAAAGGAATTTGGATGTGATTTTTACGAATTGAAATCACACCCGGTTTTCAGGACCCCAGCAGCTTTTTCCTGCATGCTTTGCCCACAAAGGTGGGCAAAAGGTGTTTCTGATAGTTTAGACCTGCAATGATGTGTGGGGGAGAAGGGATGCATATTATCAGTATCTGTCCATCTTCTGGGTGGTCTGATCCCTTTGGGCTCTGCTCAGCACCTGGGCAGGATGCTGAGCTCCTCTGCTCTTCCCACTCTCTGTTTCCCCTGGTGGCTTTCCTCCTAGCCTGTGGGTTGTTCAGTGGGGTTGTTGAAGTGCCTGCTGTGGCAGCAAGGCAGAGAGTGCAGCCACTTCATGGCACATACATAAATCTTGCGGCTGGCACAGGGACAGGAGCAATTCATCACTGTGCTGCTGTCTTAGCTGTTCAGCCCCTTGATCAGCCTCTCCAGCTGTTCCCTCAATGGGGCACCCCCAGCCTCACTTCTCCACTTCAGGGAGGCAGAGCCAGCCCCACTGCTGCCTCTTTTGGTCCTGGTGCTGTCTTGGGTTCCTAAAACATCCCTGGGAAAGGTGCTGGTATCTACGAGGGCAGGATGGATGCTCACAGCTGCAAGCAAGCACTCTGGATTTTACTGGTGATACAAAACTGCACTCATACAGGGCAGCACTGTCATACTTGGAGGCCATAAATACAGCTTGAAATTTGCTCTGCTGCTGCCAGCCCACCTTCTTTCCTGAGGAAATCAGAGTATCTCCACTGACTTCTAGCACGCCTAGCCCTATATCCCATGTACCTATGGGCACTGCTGGGCAGGATGCAGGAGCAAGGAGAAAGCTCTGGCTTGATTTAAAAAAAAAACGTTAAGGTGGGAACTGGGGCAAAGGAAAGCACATCTGAGCTGTGTGGGATGGTACAAACAACCTGACTGGGCTCTGGCCCTTCCATCCTTCTCCCCATCCTCTTCTACCTCATGATGTCGAGGCTTTTGTTCCTAGAGTTGATAATATCTGCACGTTAGATCTGATTGCTCTCAGAAATCCTTGTTTATATCATTTAGATTTGTTTCAGGCAAAGGTTACATGTCTGACATAATCAGGACTCTTTTTCTGGCTATTAAAATCCATCTGGGCATGGACCTGAGCAGTGCTCTAGGAGTCCTGCTTGTGCAGGGGGTTGGACCTGGTGGAACCCAGAGGTCTCTTCCAACCTCAACTGTTCTGTGATGTATGCCAACGACTGAAGGATAAGCACTCAAGGTTTTCTTGACATGAATTTTCAGCTGTGACGCTCTCAAGAGGCTTTATGAACCCACAGCAGGGCATAAGATGTTCTCCTGCTTCTTTTCCCCATCTGCCAGCACTGCTTTGGGCAAACATACAGGTTATAACAGGTGGATTTTGTGCTTTTTTTTGTGTTCTGGGATCTCCTTGCCTGGCTCCGACTTCCAGAGATAAAGGAAAATGGTGCCCAAAACACATTGAGCAGAGATTCTCTAAAGCTGTCGCTTCTGACCTGCAGGGAACACAAAGCACACTGAGCCCTTTCCTGGTAGGTCCAACAACCAGCTGCAGATGGGATGCGATGCAAGCACCCCAGGGGAGAGTGAGCTGTGCCCCAGCATTACATAGATGCTGCCACATGTCTGTCTGCTTGGCTCCCACTGCCAGCCCGAGCTCTCACTCTGCCTTTATCTGCATTGCAAGTGGGAGCCTCCTCCTGCAGCAGAGATGTAGAGCCTGCACACAGCTACCTCTTCAGTCCTCTTTGTGGTGCTGAGAGGGCAAAAAACAGGCAGGCACCTGCTGCCTGGCAGCCTGCCCTGCACTCACCTCCCTGCCACTTGCATTCCCCTCAGAGTTCACCTTCATTTTCTGCCTTTTGGAAACACGGGACTGGACTGGCGGCAAAATCACCTGCATGGGGGGAATGGTCCCTGTTTTGCCCTTGTGCACCATGCCCATCCCTAATGGCTGATGACATCTCTTTGAAGAGATACAAGGAGGATGCCAGAGGTAGTTCACAGCCCCTATGCAATATAAACCCAGGGAGCATCTGTGTGTGGATGGACTCAGCTCTATGAGTGTGGCCATGCAGCTGGATTAATCAACCCCCCATTAATACTTTCTGGGGTGCTCGGGTCCCCTGGCAGCTCCCGAGCACTGTCCTCTATCCAGCATATCATGCTGATTGAGCTGCAAATGCTCTGCCTCCTTAGTTTGCCCTGCCTCCGATCAATGAGTGCGGGCAGCTCCAATCAATTCCACTTTACCGCTTGCTATCAGTTCAGATCCACTCTCTCCCAGCTGGTCCCAGCTTTCTTTGTTCGTTCAGGACAGGAATTTGGGCAGCCCATTCCACTTGAGGACTGCTGTGTCTTTGCAGAGCTAGTTCTGCAGATGCAGCTGTTCCTCCTTGCCCTCCCTGCAAGGACCACCCTCAGGACCCAGTGCTGAAGAGCCCAAATTTGTGCCAGGACTCAGAGCACTGAAGTGTCAGACTGGCTGGCAGTGTGAGAGTAGGTGGCTGTGAGATCTGCATGGTGGTTGTTGCCACTGGGGCTGCCAAGAGGTTTTCCTGTCACAAGCCTGGTTTTGCTGGGGAAATACCAAAGACAGCTGCAAATGCTCCCATGGCTTGGCTTCCCAACCCCACTGGCATTAAATTCAGCGGCAGCTTTCAGGGGCTTCAGCCCCTACATGATGATTTTACAGGAAAACAATAATGTCAAAGAGTTTATATAGACGATGTTCAGAAATTTCCCTCAGACCCACACATGGCAACGAGAGAAGTGTTTTGCACACTGTCCATTGCTCCTGATGCCATCTTTCTCTTGCCTTTCTTTCTCACTTAGCTCTCTTGCTGGCCAGTTTCCAGGGTGCAGCAGCCGGATTTGCAGAAATGAAATTTCCCCATGGCTCTCCATACCTCGTCCAGTGTTAATGAAATAACGGGGCACACCAGTGCACAGCTGTGGAGCTCAGAGCCGTGGATGTGCTGGGGGCTGTTGACACTGCGAGCGGAGGCGGTGAAGGTGCGTGGTGGGGTGAGAGCAATGTGCCTCTCTGGCAGATGTCTGTCAATGAGTTGTCAACACTTCTTTTGGTCAATTAGCATATTTTCAATGATATTATCAACTGCTTAATTATTTATTTTGACAGGAAGGTTGGGGAGCTTCAAGAAACGTCTGCACAGATTTGCTCCACTTTCTAAACGTGCGTGCTTTGGGCATATCCTGCGTGCCTGGACAGACAGCATCTGAGTGGCCTGAATACACTTAGAAAACCCAAGTCTTCATTGCTTGTGTGAGCATAGGTGCAGAGATGTCTGCTTTGGAGGAGCATCTGATCAGATATGGGATGTGGTGTGGGCCCATGTTGTCTGCTGCCCTCCCCCAGCAAATATCTTGGTCTAAATACAAAGACTTGCAGGATTGAAAGCTTTCTTTCAGTAGATTTTTCTTATTTTGTTCCTAAACCGTGCAGGATCTGCAGCAGCCCATGGAAGGAGGGCAGCTGAGCACAGACTTATCTCCTCATGCTTACCTCTCATCTTCCACTCTCTCCCCACTCCCCTGAGCTGTGCAGGTCTCTGCCCGGTGTCCCCATTTTTCTCTTTTCTATGCCAAAGAGCCTCAATCCATCACACACCCCACGTGCAGAACCTTGGATCATCCTGTTGCCCTTCTCTGCACATTTTCCTGTTATGCTGTACTCTTGGAAGGGGAGGACCAGGACCACAGACCAGGATCTGGGTCTGACCCAGAGAACAGTGATGTCTCTGATGCATTCTCTACCTTTTCCTAACCCTTCCCAAATCAGTTTTGGCTGAGAAGTTTTGCAGTTTTGGCCTCCACTGATTGCTGAGGGGACATTTTCATGGCTGTCAGAGCTCCTGGCCTCAGAGCCCATCACTTTAGACACTGAGGTCAGGCTTTGTTTCCCCACGTGTGTCACTTCACTGACACTGGCTTTCATCTTGCTTTATTGCCAAGCTGCTCAAGCTCTCAGAAGTCCTCCTGCCATTCTTAGCACTCATCTGCAGTACCCAGAATAATTCAGTATTATTAGCAGATTGCGTCACTTCTCCACTGATCTATCTCAGAGGATCAGCTTGTGGAAATGCAGGTGACCTCTCAGTTGGATCTCTCTCAGGCACCTGCTGCTTTTTCCTTGAAAGCCACTAGCTTTGGAAGAAAGAAACCTCCTTTAAAAGAGCTGTGCTGACTCTTCCCCAGTATGTCATATTTACCCATCTGTCCCCTAACGATGCCAGTTTTCTGCTCCTTATGCCAGTTTTTGTTCATTTGCAGAGAACAGATGTGTCATTTATCAGTCTGTGGCTCCCTGGCTGCCTCCTTGGAAGCAGTTCTGGTGTTGCAGCTTCCCCCTCCCAGTCCCTCTGTCCCCTGCTGTACCCAGAGCTCAGGGGAAGCTCTGCATGGTCAGCAAATATATGGTCATCTCTGCTTGTGTAGGTGGCTCCAAGAACAGAAGGAGCTGGAGGTACTACAGACATTCATGGGCTTTTATTCAAAACTGTGGAAGAAGCACCTGAAGGTTCACAGGATCACATGCTCCCTGCAATCCAGGGAGGTGCTGGTCTCAGTGCCTGACTCAAGTGATGATGGTGGCAAGTGTCAAATGCTAAATCCAGGCCCCACATCACCTGTGGGTGAATCCTCTTTTTGTGCCTCCTCCAGAGCATGCAGGGGCAGAGATGTTCCCCTTTGAGCCACCAAAATCCCACAGCCATAAATTGGGCACCAAACCCAGGCCTCTGCTGCCTGTGGAACCTTCAGAATGCTGGGCTGCAGCCACTTAAACTGGGCACCAAGGGCACCAAGGGAGCCACGGGGACCATGCAACCTGGGCCCTTCCAGACCCAGACAAGGTCCCATGTCCTGTTTTTGGCCTAGGAAGCAGAACAGGGCTCCCATCCCCAGCTGCAGATGAGCCTAAGGAGCGCTCAGACCTGCTGAAGCAGCTCCTCCCATCAGCCAGGAGGGCAGATAAGGGCTGAGGGCATGCACAGGGCTGGCGGGGGCCCAGAAGGCTTTACCTGGCTTTCTCTTCCTGGTGCATGCTTCAACCTGCTTGGGAAGCATTTACACAGGAAATGGTGAGAGAAAGGACCGTGCTGCCAGCCCTGGCCCAAAGGCAACAGGGAAGAGCTCCTGGATCCTCTTGAGATGGAGGCAGATGGCAGGAGATGGGAGCAGAGCTCCTACCAAGGCCTCACTAAGATGACCTTCCATCTCACCTCTTTTAGAACCCTGTGAGCCAAACATCCCTTCTGCGCGGCCATGAAGTGCTCACCTCCCAGTCAAAGGCTGCAAATGGTGGCTCCACTGCCATCTTCCCTGGGGCCCAAGGCAGCATCCTGCCAGGAGCTCCTTGCCGTGGCTGCGTGAGGGAGCAGACAAAATGTTGAGTCTGGCACACACGCATGCTCCTGGTCCTCTCCCATCTGTCAGCTCTGTGCCCCTTGCCAAGTCCTGCACGAGCAACGCTTCATGACAGCCATCTGTCACAGGGCCTGGCCATGTGGCCTTGCAGATGGAGTGGCATCGAGGCCACGGATGTGGCACCAGGGCTGATCGCTGTGGTGCAGGCATCAACCCTCTGTCCCAATGTGCATCAGAGATGATGGATATAAACACTTTGGGCACTGGAGCAAAATCAGCCACAGCGAGACGCAGATGGAGTTCAGCTTTGGCAGTGTGAATGCAGAAATCTGTAGCTGCTTCTTAGAGCCTGAAACACGCCACCAAGAATGGAGAGATGTCGCCTGTGTCCTGTCACGACTGCAGAAAAAAAAAGCAGCCTGTGCCTGTGCTGAGCCATGTGGGGTGCAGAGCTCAGAGCACCCTTCAGATCTCTCCCAGCACAAAGGCGTCTCCTGAGGGGCTCCCACCCGGCTCTGCCCTCCTCACCGCACACACCGTGCTGCTGTCGACCTGCTCTGGGCTCCTCCCTTAAAAAGGAAAAGCCAACACTGCTCGAAACTGAAGGCTCAGGTGGGTCCCGAGATGCTCCTTTGCGATGCCCCTGCAGCTGCCTCACCAAGGGGAGATGCAATGGGGTGGGATGGAAAGGAACAGGCACTACCATTCCTCCAGCATGGCAGTATTTTTAAAAAAGCTGCCGCCACAAGCTGGTCCCTCCTCCCAGAGGATGCAGAGTGCGTGCTTTGCCAGCCTGAGGACTGAACCAGAGCCACTGGTAGCAGATGTGGCTGAACATCCTCCTTGGCTGCTACAGGCACTGGAAGTGCTGTCATTCATGTGCCATCAGCCCTGCATCCTGCTTCCTTCCCACCGCTGGACAGACAGATTGAGAACCTGTCGTTTCTGTATTTTAATAACTATTTCATCATCTCCATCTGCCAGGATTTAGCGTGTGCCCGACCTCAAATGCTGCCTTGCGCTCAACCTGTGCGTGGCAGGCAGCTTTTCTCCTGAAGTCTTTTGTATCCCATATTCTCTGAATACAGATACACTCTGAATTTCCTAATCTTGACTGCTGGGTGCTGCCTGGTTGGGAATCTGGAAGGGTTTCGCGGGTAGAAGCAAGCAGTGTGAGCTACAGCTTTCCAAACAGCCTCCCCAGAGAACGGGCACCACTCAGCGCAGCCTTCCCATACATTCAAGTTGCCCCCACCTCTCCCTCGCCGCCACCCCGGCGGCTCTTCCACCCGTGCCGAGGAGAGCGGGGGCAAATGGGGGAAGCAGCCAGCCCCGGGAGCAGCCCGCGGCGCCAAGGCAGGCCGGGTGGCGGCGGGGCGGGCCCCGCGGAGGGCGGGCCAGGCGGCGGGGGTGCGGGGCGGACCCGGGGGAAGCGGGCGGGGCGCGGTGGGAGCCGGGCTCGGGGAGCGGAGGGGGGGGAGCCGGGAGCGGAGCTCGGAGCCCCGCTCGGAGCAGTGAGCGCCGCGGCTCCGGCAGGTGGCACTGGCCGCCTCCCTCGTCCGCCTCCCCCGTTTCCCCCCCCCCCGGCCCGGTCTCCGCCGCCGCGCTCAGTCCGCCGGCGCCGATGCTGCTGAGCGGAGCGGCGGCAGGCTCGGAGCGCGGCGGCGGGGCCGGGGCCGGGGCCGGGGCCGGGGCCGGGGCCGGGGCGGGCGGCGGAGCCCCGCAGTGCGTGGGCACCATGGCCCGCTGGCTCCGCGAGCACCTCGGCTTCCGCAGCGCCAAGCCCGCGCCGCCCGCGCCGCCCAAACCCGACTACCGCGCCGGGCCGCCGCAGCCGCCCCCGCCGCCGGGAGGCGCCGCCGAGCCGCTGGCCTCGGCCCAGCCCGACATCGTGGCCGCGTACCGCCTGCAGAAGGAGCGCGACTTCGAGGACCCGTACAGCGGGGTGCCGCCTCCCGCCGCCCCCGACGGGCCCCGCTACGTCTCGCCCAAGCACCGGCTCATCAAGGTGGAGGCGGCCGAGAAGCCGCCCGCCGGCCCCGCGCCGTCCCCCGCCGCCCCCGGCTCGCCCCCCGCCGGCCCCGAGCCGCCCGACGAGCCGCCGCAGGAGGTGAGTGCCGCGGCGGGACCCGCGGGCTGCCGGCGCGTCTCCGACGGCTTCCCCGCGTCTCCCGGCGCTGGGGTCTCCGCGGAGGCGACCCGCGGAGCTCGGGACGTCTCCCCGGGGCCGGGCCGCCCTCCGCGGGCCTCCTTCCCCGCAGCGCGGTGAGCCTGCCGGGGCCTGCCCGCCCCGTGCCAGCTGCTTTGTCGGGAAGCGGCCGTGCCTCTTTGTCTGCCGCCTCCGAGCTGGGGATGGAGAGGAGGCGAGAGCGGTCCCCGGGCCGGTGGCACACAGACGGTGCCAGGGACAAACCCGCGGCACGGGTGAGAGTCCGACGGGGGACCGTGCGAATTAAGGCAGGAGGGCTCGCGGCGCCCGGCGGTGCTGCAAGATGGGGCCTGCCGGGCGAACTCCTCGCGGATCGGCCTGCTGAAGGAAAGGAGGGAGTTGTTGATACAACAGTCGCAGGCTCGGGCTTGGCGTCGCCTGACACGCCGGGGAAAAGCGCGCTGAGCGAAACCTGGTGGGGGAATGCTGGATGCAGGCAAACAAGTTGCCGCCGGTGGATCCCGGCAAATTGCTCTTAGTGCATAATTGCTGTTGGAACGTTTGCGGCGGGGCCCGTTCAGCTGTGATCCCACGAGCTGCCCACAGCAGAGCAGGAGTTCGGTTTGTTGGGGCCTCCGCAGGGTTCTTGCTCCTGATGGCAGAGGAACGTGTGGTGCTGCAGCCCAGGGACTGGGCTGTATCCATTGGAGTGCAGCGAGAAGCTGGAAAGTGCAACGAAGAGCCAAGGAGGCGGCTGGGGAAGCCCAGGTAGCAGCGTGGGTCCAAAGGAGGCCCTTCATCATCACCCAGGCAGGCAGTGGTGAGGCTATCTCCAGATCCTTCCCCTTGATGAGGAGGAGGTTTATCATTTTTTAGGGTTCTTGTGATGGACGGAGGCAGTGCTCGAAGGGCTAGGTGAGCTGGAGATAAGCTTGTTAAAGCTAAAGCCATTTCTCTGGAGGAGCAGTGGAGCATCCACCACAGGGAAACCACCTGCTGGGCTCAGGCACCTTTTCCAGCTCCCGTCTGCTGCACTGGGTAGTGGGAGGGTTCCCTGCCCGCAGCATGGCTGGGTTGCTCGCTGTATCCTTTGTGGAAGTGGCCCAGGAGGACAGAGGGTGGTCGCTGGAAGCTTGCTCATGCTTGTGATGGCTGTGTGAGGGTGTCCTGAAGCACATGGCACCAGATGGATCGTCATAGCTTTGTGCAGTCCGTGGGATGGGCAGCATCCTGTGATGATGTGCTTAGGGCACATTCTGCAGAAGCTCATGTTGCGTTATCAAATGTTCTGGGGGTGGTGGGGAGCGGCACAGGTCCTCCCCCCTCTGCTTGGTCCCTGTGCTCCATGCCCCACAGCTTGAGCAGGGGACAGACTCTTGAGATGTGTGTTCTGCCACGCGAGGAACAGCAATTGCCAGGATTTCCATCGATGCAAGTGAGACAGATACAGCCTGTCCTTAGTGAGGGACCCGCTCATGGCACCACTGTGCCTGAGCCCAGGTGACACCTTTTTTGTCTGCTGTGGGATCTCCTCTTTGGGCCGTCCCAATGGGGGCAAGAGACCACCACAAGGGCATGTGTGGCTACAGATTTGCCAACGTGCTTAGGATCAGCCCTGAGATGTGATGCTCCTGATGCAAAGCTTTTGCTGGGAGCACAGGGTCAGCACCGCAGTGTGTGGGAATGGTTGGCCAGGAAACTCCTGGGCGTGTGTCTTTCCTGCCAGAGCCTCTCAACTGAGTCATCCTGTGAGATGCTGTGCTGTCCGCCCCGGGCTCCCCTCACCTCCTGTGCCCTGGGTGCAACCGTGTCCGGCTCCCAGGGCAGGGAACCAGGCCCTTCTCCTATGGCCAATATTTGTTTTGCTTTTGGGTTTGGCTTTGCTGCCTGCCAAAACCTGAGCTGTGGGGTGATCCCCCTGGGGAAAAGGTCCCAGAGGTAAAATTAGGGAAATGTTGTACCCAAAGGAGAGGATGAAGTGGGTGAAGTTATAACTCAGAGTGGCTCCAGTGTAAGGTGCTTGCATGTGGAAGAGCATCTGAGCTGCTGTGCTGGTGTCCTGTCTTGTCTGAGTCTGCACTGCATTGATGGGGTGCGAAGAGAGGCTCCGGGAGCAGTGCCAGCAGCAAGCCAGGTGTCAGGCTATCTAGTAAAACACATCTAGGAAATGGGGCTTGTGGCAAGCTATAATGCAGGCGGGTTTGGCAGAGGAACAAGCAGGCAACCCCTTCCTGACCCTGCTGCCGCTGCGGAGACAGAGACCTCATTGCAGGGGGTGAGGGAGTGCTGGGCATAATGCCTCTGATGGCACAGAACCTCCCAGGGACTGCGGGCAGCCGAGCAGCTGCACGTTCCCTGATGACTGCTGGGGTTTGCTCTGGGGGTGATGCTGTGCTGGTTGTGGGAGAGCTGCCCCTGGGTGAGCAGGAGCTGCCCTTGGAGTCCTGGAGAGAGATGGGTGATGGACAGGGTGCTGAGGAGCTGTGGGGTGTTTACAACTCCAGTTCCTGTCCCCTTTTCCTGCTGCGTTTTGTTGCTCCAGGCTATTGTCACTTTTCACAGGAAGAAGGAAAGAGGTGTTTTGTTTTAAACCCATTAATCGGAGAGCAGCCTGGCTCTGCCACTGGCTGTGGTGGGGTGGCAGATTGCACCTGTGAGGACAAACCTTGAGCTTGTGGTGTTTTCCTTGTGAAATCATACCCAAGGCTCCTGGTCCTATTTCCTGCTGACTCTTGGTTGCTTGAGGGTCCCCTCCTGCGTCACTTGGGATACATGGGGACGCTGTAGGGGCCTGAGATGGAAGAAAGGAAGCTATAGGCTGCTCATAGTCCTTTTGCTAAGAGATGCCTAGATGCCTACAGATGTGCCTGCAGGAGCCCTGACAAATAACCAGTGAGCTTCCAGTTTCACCAGTGCCTGCCAGTTTCCCTGAACTGGGTCTCAGGCTGCCTCAGAAAACATGGCCAAGCTGAGAGCCCCGCTTTTGGAAACAACCTTGCTGGCGCATCTGTGTGGGCGCTAGTGGCCTTGCTGGTGCCAGGCCAATGCTAACGGAGGAGGCCGGGCTGCATTCTGCTCTGCTTGGCTCCGACCCAACTTCTGGGACAAAGGCTGGAGTGTTACCACTGCTAAGAGCCTCGTGCGGGTGCCTGGAAAGCCGTGGGCTGCCAGCATCTGCTCTGCAGGATTGCAGATCCCGCTTGGAGCCTTCCTCCGAAAGGATATACAAAAGGGACAGGTGGAGTGGCAGTAGCCCAGGGCTCCTGCTGCCAGAACTTGGAGACTCATCTGTCCCCATGGAGCCTGAGGTCCGGGCTGCTGCTCTGCGTGCTCCTCATGGTGAGGTGGTGATATTTGAAGGTGTTTCAGCTGGTCCCTTGGAAAGGCAGGGAATGGCCTAACCTTTCTCCTGTTCTTCCCTTTTCCAGCTGGCTGTCCTGGAGGACTATGCAGACCCCTTTGATGCTGCGCAGGTGGCTGGTAGCCAGGCAGGGGTGGAGAAGGTGACAGAGAACGATGGGTATATGGAACCGTACGAAGCCCAGAAAATGATGGCTGGTAAGGTGGAAAGCTCTGTGTAAGGACCACTGTACACTCTTCCATTTCCTGCTGCTCTGTGAATTTGGTGGCCACTGCTCTGTTCTTGCAGCCTGTGCTGGCACAAGTCTCCTAGGAGTGGCTAACAAGCCCGGGTGAATGGCTGCACAGGAGCCATCCTGGCTGCTTTGCAGCCAGATTTTCACAGATTTACATGTGTGAAAGACATGTGAATGCCACATGCCACAGACAGAGCACTTGCAAAGGCTGCATGAGTATTAAAGGCCCCTCAATACTTCTGCTTGCAGTGCTGCTCGTGAGGCTGAGCCGGGAGAGACATGACATTCAATGGGTCTGGCATAGAGCAAGATGGATGTGGAAGCTATTTAATTTGGTTATGGCTGGTGCAGAGCATGCTGCTGTCTGCTGCAGCAGCAGGGTCCCCCATGGTTTTGTTTATGGCTTGAAAGCAGGCGAGGTGAGAGCACGTGCTCCCAGAGGCACTGCTCTGACTGCTGCAGTGCACGCAGGGCTGCATGCTCCAGGCTGTGGCTCTGCTTTCATGTCCTGTGTTTTTTCTGGAGCAAATGGTTTCTGTAAAGCTCATGTAGCTTTTGGAGGACATTGCTGCTTTCTTGGAAAAATCGGCATCAACAAGGAGTCTTCTTGTGTCTGTGGAGAGATTTTTGTTCTGCTCAAGAGTTGAGCATTTAGTTAAACACTGCACTGTGGGGAGAGCAGGTATCCTGATGCTGGGAATTGTTCAAGGCCCTGCTGTCCGGCAGCTGAACTTCTTGTGACGGGCACTTGCTGGAGGTTTGGGGCCTTCTCCATCACTCATGCTTCCCACCCTACATCACCCTCAGGTGAAACCAAGCTCTTTGTTCTGGTTTTGGAGACTGTGGCCAAGTGAGAAGCTCACATTTTGTTCCATTTTCTGCTAGAGATCCGCCAGAAGGGCTTACGGGAGACTCCAACCCGGCCACTTCACCTCTATGACACTCCCTATGAGCCCATCTCTGGAGGGCTGGATGTGGACACTGACCGCCATGCTTGCCCCAGGCCTAGGGAATCTCGGTTGCCTGAGGATGATGAGCGGCCGCCAGAGGAGTATGACCAGCCCTGGGAGTGGAAGAAGGAGAGGATCTCCAAAGCCTTTGCAGGTGAGCTGGGATGGAGGCAGCTGGAGTTTTGAAAAGTGCCTACTGATGCTGTGTAGTATTTTGCAGTGGGGAAGCTGGGATGGTAATATCAGCTTCTGCATTTCTGTGTCTCAGGGAGTGATGTTTCACTTGCACAGTGGCTGTTTCTCTTCAGCAAGGCTTGTGGCAGACAGGCTGTGTGGGCTGGCGATGGAGCTGCCTTGGCAGCCTGTCAGTGCCATCTCCGACTGCCTGACTGATCAGCATCTCTGGTGCCAGCTGACTCCTGTCTCCCACCCCAAGTTACAGGGCTAGAGCTCCATCTCCAGCCCAGGAAGAACTCTCCTTCCCTGAGACCACCTTTTGCAGGAACGAGGGCTGAGCTGTCCCTGGCAGGCTTTGGCCAGAAGAATGTCCATCCCCCTGGCCTGTTTATCCATGCTGCGGGATCGATTGTGTTTGTGTTTGTTAATGAGGAAATCCATGCTGTGCATTAGCACTGGCTCCACTGCCAGCACTGGCTAATTGCCATGCTCTTATCCAGGATGCATTTGAATTGCAGCAGTGTGTGTCTGTGCTGCTGCTGGTGCGCACAAAGCATGAACTGTTGATGGTGTGGAGAAGCATGGAGACTGGGGCTTGGGAGTGATTCACCTTTTGGGTGAATGTGACATTGGTGTCTGATTGTCCATGTGGGTGACTGGGATTTGGGTCCTGGTACAGCTGGTGTCTACAGACAAGTGTCTACAGCATCCTGAGCCGAGGATTGATTCAATTGGGCTGGGTTTGTGCTGAGGTGTCTGTATAGAGGATTTGCCTGTTGCCCCTGGGTGGAGGAGGTGCATTCATACATCTGGCTCATGCATGGATGCTGCCCAGGATGCTCCAGGTTGGCTCTGAGTCTGGAGGGAATTCATGCATGGCAAAGCCAGTTGTCGTGCCTTGGCATGTGTATAGGATCTCAGGACCATCCTGTGATGCTGGAATCTCCCTGCTGGTCCCCCCGTTGAGACGCAGTGGTACCAGCACTGGGCTAATCCACTGTGAACTGCATCTGCACTCCCTTCCCTGCTGCTGCAGACTGCCTGCAGCCACCTCGTCATAGACTGCTTGTCCTATGGGAACCTGGCTGTCAGCTGGAGCTTTGCTGGTTCTGGATGCCTGTCTGGGGAGCCAGCACCCTTTCCCCTTCCACCCCTCTTCCTCCTGTCATCTCCCTTAGTCCCATCTCTGCTGGTGGTGGCTGTGGGTCCCCTTGGCCAGCACAGGGCTCCTGGGAATTCAGTCTTTACCCTTACAGCTGCTGTTCTTCTCACGAGGTCTGGTGTTGCTGATGTTTTTTTCTAAGCCTTCTCTTTCTCTCTTTCTCTTTCTCTCTCTTCCTACCCCTCCCTCACCCCCTCCTCGTATCCAGTTGAAATCAAGGTCATTAAAGACCTGCCGTGGCCGCCACCGGTGGGACAGCTCGACAGCGGTGAAACCCCCCTGGACAGTGAGGCCAGTGCCTCTGTCCCCCCGCAGCACGGCCTGCAGAGCTACGAAGATGCCAACGGTGGGTGTCGCATGACAGCTGGGGTCCGTGGGGGCTGCAGCCAATGCCTGCTGGGACTCTACCAGCACTGTGCCATGCACTGCAGGTCCCTTCCCTCCCCACACTCCTCCTCCTCTTCCTCCTCTTCCCCCTTGGCTTGCCTGTCCCAGGCAGGACGCAGATGTTTGTCCTTGCCTCTTCCACATCTCTGGTTACACATTACCTTTGTGTCTGCAGTGGTTGAGTTGCACCAGGGGATTTTTCAGTGGCAGAGTTATTATTGGCTATTTTGTTCCCTCCTCTTTACCTCCAAATTCCCAGCATTTGATGGCTGCTTTTTACCTTTTCTTTTTGAGCATTTAGTTGATGTTTTCCTGTGGCTCTTAATATGCAGTTCCCTTATGGGCACGGTACCAGCTAATTCAGATCCCACCACTGAAATTTGGGGTTATTTTTTCCCCAGGTGCATCACTTTGTCATTTCGCAGCACTTTGTTTCATCTGCTGTTTCCCTGCCTTGCTGTTCAGTGGCAGGAGATCCCTCTGGATTCCCAGCTCTTGCTTTCACTATCCTGAAGAGCTCCATCTCCCAGGCAGGTTTTGTCATCTCAGGATTGCCTTGCTGCAGAGCCCTTTTTGTGCTTGCTGGGAGGCAGAGCCCCTGCTAAATTCTCCTTGAGCTCTGCTGACCATTTCCCTTACGGCAGCCAATGACTGCGGCTTCACTTTTGACCCATTATTAATTTTTTAAGGACCTTGCTCTGTAGTACGGTTTTTTACAAGAGCATCGTCTAAAGGGCTTCTGTCAGAACCCACCCAGGCTGTCCAAACTGGGCTGGCCTTGCTCACATGAAACTGATCTGTGAGACGTGACTGTGCAGCGTGCTGTGCCCACCCGTGCATCACTAAGGCTGTTCTTGATGGATGCTGCGATATGCCAGCTGCGGACATCTGATTTTCTTATCTGCAATTACCCAGATCCCTGCAGAGCTTCGTACAGACCCCGGTGGCTCCCCACGAGGTTATGTGTGACGGCCGATGTTGCTTTGCAGGGACACCCTGCAGCAGTGCGGCTGCCCCACGTGCCCTCCTGGTGAGGCCACAAGGTGAGCTCATCCCAGAAAGAGAAGGGCCTAATGGAAAACTTCCTGCTTCTCTTTGTACGACAAATGCAGATGTCACACAGAACTAATTTGTTTGCTGCACAGCCGCCTCCTTCCTCTGTCATTTGTTATCCCTGCGGTCGCTTTGAAGACATCAGTTTGTCATTTTTCCTGGCTTAAGCAACACAAGCGCTCATTTTCATTTTGACTCACTTTGTTGTGTTAAGTTTATCTTGACGGAGTTCTGTATTATTTTCTACTGTCCCTGTCTGGGGGTGACTTGAACTTCTTGAAGGATGTCTTCTTCCATCCTGGGGACTTGTTTTTAATATCCTGTTTAATCATGTGCATGCCTCTGCTGCTCTCTGACAGATGCTATGTATTTCTTCTGAGCCTCTAATATGATGACTTTGTGCTGCTAGCAAATGCTTCAGCCTTCTGATTGTCTGACTTTTTAATGATTGTCCCAATTTTTTAAAGTGATGAGTTGAAATTGAAGCCTCTATAACTGGCTGCTACAGGCAAGGGCAAGCCCATGTAAAAGCTGAACTTCTGCAGAGGCATGGCTTGAGCACCTTGTCCCCCAGCTCCTCCTGGGGAAATTTGAGCTGTGATGTTTGCAGAGGACTGAAAAAGCTGTCTTGGTGAACAGAGAAGCTTATCCTGAGGGCCAGGTCTGGCACACCCACCCTTGGGGCAGTTGTGCTCTGCAGCAGCAGCCGCCAGCAGCTCTGCAGATCAATAAGTAATTTGTGCAAGGGGGCTCGCTTGGCAGGGGAGCAATAATGAACTCTCTGGAGGAGGGAGAAACAATATTATTAATACTGAAATCATCTTGCACGGAAATAACATTCAGTGGGAGGCTGGGTCCCCAGGGCACATCTTGGTTAATCCCTCTCCTGCTTCTCCCTTCAGCTCCATCTTCCTCACTCCTCTTTTCTTCTTTTCAAGAGTGGAGAGCCTCTCAGTACTAATTCTCTTGATGGAGATGCCTAATTGTATGCTGCAACCACCGAATCTCGTTACATTAGCAACACACGTAAGCTCTCTGAGCTTAGGAAATCTGCCTGGAAAATATTCCCAGAGACTGGGACACAGTGAGAACCCCAGTCTGCACTGAGTCCTGGGGTAAATGCTGCATGGAGCTGCCCTGTGCTGTCCTCGCTTAGAGCGTGGGGATGGGGCAGTGAGAGGGGACCCAGTGCGATTTGGCATGGCTCTGGCTGTTTCTGCAGCCTTCCTCTGAATGGGGGAGAGCTGGGTTTGTTTGTAGTCTGTCAGCCTGTCCCTGCCACCGCTGTGATATCCATCTGTCTTGCAGGGCCATCAGAGGGGTTGGGCTATGGCCGCACCTCACCCTGCAGGGAGGAGAAGGCCAGGGCTGCCCTCAGACATGGTACCAGCAGCCTCAAGAGCACCAAGACATTGATCACAGAGCCTGGTCCCTTCCTTGGGGAGAGGATTGACCCTGCACTGCCCCTGGAGAGCCAGTGGTGAGTTCCATCTGCTCCAGGTGGCTCTTTTGTATCCCCATCGCTATCTTCCCCTCACTTTCTTCCCCAGCACTGTGTTTCTGCCACCTGCTACTTGTCCCTGCTGCCCTCCTTAGGCTACCCCTGTCCCCTGGCACCGTCTGCCACCCACATCCCTTACCCCTAGCATGGGGACTGGCATTGCTGCTGCCGCGAGGCTCTGTGCTGCTTAAAGCATGCGTGTAGCCAAGTCCCTCTCCCCCCTGCAGCTGGTATCACGGGGCCATCAGCCGGACGGACGCAGAGACGCTGCTGAGGCTCTGCAAGGAGGCCAGCTACTTGGTGCGCAACAGCGAGACCAGCAAGAACGACTTCTCCCTCTCCTTGAAGTGAGTGAGCCTGTGCAACCTGGGGGGCTGCAGCTGAGGCCATGCTGCGCTGTCTTTGCAGCGGAGGTGAATCTGTGCATGTATCCCCAGTGCTTTGGGGGCTTGGAACAGCACACTCCAGAGGGCTGCTCAGGGACAACAGCAGGGCTTTGGAATATAAGATCTGCCTTTCTTTGTGGGGTGGCACAGGCTTTTGACGTTTGGTTTGGTGTCTGGCAGAAGTGTCTCTTGGGAAGACTTCCAGAGCTAGAGGCATGCTGCTTTCCCCTTGGCAGTGCTCATAATTCCTCAGACGGATAAAATGATGTGCCCTATTACTCATTTGAATGTGTGTGATTACAGCTTCCAGCTCTGGCTTATTGCTGCCCCTTTTTGTAGCTGAATTTCATGAGAAAATAAAGTCTGTACAATCCCATTATTTATAGAAATGCACCCATACCTTCTTCCCCAGCCCTCTTAAACATTGAAGCTGTTCCTCAGCTGCATGGTAGAGAGGGCACTGCGCTGCTTTGATTTCTCAGCAGGGAAGCCTTGCTCCCACAGCATGGCTGGGTTTCTGCTTGGGTCTGGAGGGGAATCTTTGCACCTTCCCCAAATTTTCCACCTTCTCTGAGGGCCAAAGCTGCATGAAGCATTGAGGTACACGCGCAGAGCTCCATGCCTAGCTCCTTGGGGAGTCTCGGGGCAGTCTGAGCCCGCAAAAACAAAGCTGCTTCTGTCCTGAAGATGATGATAGATTAACAAATACTTCCTTGTCCTTCTGCAGGACTAGTACATTAGCTCTCTTCCTGGCACACAGGAAAAAAATATTGAGCACTTCAGTCATCCCTGCCTGACAACAGCCCAGGTGTCCCTACCCTTTTCTCAATACACCCAATATTTTCCCAGTGGTCTCTGTACCTGCATTTCTCCCTGGCAGATTCAGCCTTCCCCGTTTATTTCCCAGTGCCACAGTTGTGAATTAGATTCCTCCATCTCTCCTTTTTTTTTTTTTTTTTTCTTTTTATTGCTGCCTTCAGCACCAAAGTGGGGCAGATTTTTAGCTGGAAAAAAAAAAATCTCTGCTTCCTTCTGTGCTTTTAGATCAGACAGCAAACCTCTTGCAAAAGCTCATTGCTTTCATTTCTTTGTCAGAATTTTTACTGATGCTTGATGCTTTTCTCAGTAATATTTCCTTGCCTTGTGGTGAGCTCTTCTGAAGCAACAGCTTCTGCTGATCAGTGAGTCATGTTGGAGGCCATGAGATGTCCTCTCAGCCACCAGTGAGCCATTACATGCTCTGAGAGTGGCATCGGGGTTGGTGGGACGCCCTCCCTCTCCAGCATGGCTACCCCCCAGGTCAGCTGAAAAGCTCTGATACTGCATATTTCCCCGTTTTCATTGCTTCCCTACAATTCAGTTATCTGTTTGGATATTTTTTCCCTGAGCCTCGTGGCAAGAATGGCCTTCTCAAATAGCACACGTGGGTGGGACGTAGCCTTGCAGCTTTGTGCTTCTGCCCACAGGAGGCTGCATCCCATCCAAGAGCTGCTCAGGCAGTGTCCAAAGTCTTCATTTGCAGAGACCACACGGTCTCAGGAATGTGATTTTTACTCTGTTGCCTTTCTCTATAGAGCCTTTTCAAGGAAGATCCCTTGGGATGCTTTTTATATAGCTCTAAGCTGCTCGCATGCATCTATCTCTCTTTCTCTTTTTTTTTTTTTTTTTTTTTTGAACTCTTTTTCTGGAGGAAGGAGGAGTGACTGAAGAGATGGTCTGAAAATGGAGCTCTGGTGCTGATCCCCAGTCATTCTGTGCTGCCTTAAAAGAAAATGTGCACAAAAGAGAGCAGCAGGAGCCTGCCAGGTAGCTGGGAGGTTTAACTGTGCTGTGACCACTCTGGCTGTGCTGCCCCCCAGAGTGCTGTGGGCAGGATTATGCTGAATTAACTGCTCAGAGGATGAGTCGCCGGTGGCTCATTCCTTCCTGGGGGCAGCTGAGGCTGTGGTGTGGAGGCTGGAGGTTCTAGGTGCCCATTGCATGGTGCAGAGGTTGCAGCAGCTGCTGGCTGTGAGTCTGCTGGCTTTTCAGTGTGCTCCCTTGAACATTTCTAGTCTCAGTCACATCCCTGAGCTTGCAACATAAACCCAGGGAGCAATTGGGGCAAAACCCACCTCGCTATGGACCTTGTGTGGCAGCTCTCCTCCAGCACTAATCCTACACTGAGCCCTGTGTGTGCTCCCAGACAGCCCTTTCCCAGTGGGGTTGGCTCCCTGCTTCTCAGCTCCTAAATGGATTGCAAGCCCATTCTGCTAATGCAGCTGCTCTGTCCATTATGGGCACCGTCTCCAGCCAGGGGGATGGGACTGGCCTGCACAGCACTGGATACGGCTCAGCATTGCTGATGAGGTCCTGTCTGCTTTTAAGCCATCAATATTTTGCTGTAATGTGCATTCCAGACGCTGCAGACAGGCTGTGGCTCTCCTCAGAGACACAAATTAATAGCAACAGGGCCATTAGCCCGTCACTTGGAATCAGTGCTTGTGGCAGTATCTGCCTGCGCAGCCGCTTGTGGCTCAGTGCCTGTGCTGTGCTGGGAAATGGCCTCGCTATGCTGAGCGGGTTTAATGGGACCTGCAGTAGTGGTGCAAGGAGGGGGGCACGAGCCCCCGTGTGGCTGGTCCCAGCCTGAAGGAGGAAATCCTGCTTTGCTGCAGCAAGGCTGGGGATGCACCAGCCTGACTCCTTCTGTTGTGGCTGCTGCGTGAGCTGGGGTGGCTGTAAGAAGGGCTTCATCCCCACTGGGCTGAGAGCTGCAGGACTGGAGGGAGATATGAGAAGGGCCATGGCTGCAAGGGTGGGGATCTGGGGACTGCCGTCTCCTCTAACCCTGCCTCTGTCTTTCCTCACAGGAGCAGCCAGGGCTTCATGCACATGAAACTATCCCGGACCCAGGAGAACAAGTACGTGCTGGGTCAGCACAGCCCGCCCTTTGACAGCGTGCCAGAGATCATTCATCACTACGCCAGCCGCAAGCTGCCCATCAAGGGGGCTGAGCACATGTCCTTGCTTTACCCGGTGGCTATCCGCACCCTATAGCTGTCACCACGCACGAGCTGAGCTCGAAGCTGTGTGGACCTGAAGGTGGCCTGTCTGCAGGGCCAAACGCTGGTGTAGTGGACGGGCACCAGATCAGCGAGACGGTGTTATTGGGGACTTTGGCAGCTAGACCCCTCATCATGCTCTCACCTGGGGTTCCTGTGTGCCAGTGTGCCTGCTGGGATGGCGACAGGGAGAAGGAGCTTAGTGGGAGCATCCATTTGCTGCCCTCACCCCCTTGGGAAGCAAGGACTGGAACTGGGGCCCTGGAGAGGACATGAGGGGAGCAAGGTGCAGGAAAGGGGGGAGGAAGTATCCTGAGATGTCTGCTGAGGGCACATGGCTCTGCTCACGTCCTGCACGACAGAGAGGACACCCCTGTGCCTGCTGGCAAGGAGGCTGTCACAGTGAGGCACAGAGGGGTAGGCTACTGGGGCTCCCACCCATGTGCGTGCTTGGTGCTCCTTGCCTTCATTTGCCAAATGTACATAGTAACTGGTCAGAGCCGCGCATGCAGCACCACTGCCTAATAAAGCGATGGATGCACGGTCACCTGCTCTGCAGGGACTCTGTACCCTCAACCCAAAAGCTGGGTGGGGAGCTGGCACGACAAAACTCTGCTCAACAGCAGGGAGGGGATTTTATTAAGGAAAATTACTTCATTTTTCACTCTCACGTACAGAGACCCGAGTAGTTCAGCACAGTCATCAGTGACACAGGATAAAAGACAGCTTTCATGTCCTGAGTGTCTTGAGATCCTTTGTAGACAGCAGTAAGCTGGGTTTGTTGGTTATGCCAGGCTGAGGGGGATGCTCTTGAGGCTCTTTGGCTTGTTTTGCTTCACCTCTTGTAAACTTTAGGCAAAATCCCTGAATTTCACAGGTTTGTCCTCTTCCCCTAGATATGTAGTGGCTCTAGTCCTGTTTGTCTTCTGGACCTCTTGTCTTTGGGGCAGGTTGTTTCTCCTCTTCCTATGTCTGAAGTTACACACTCCCAGGACAAAGCTAGGATGGTGGAGATGGTCCATGGGGCCATGAGGACTTTGTACGGGCTCTGAGATTTTCTACACTTAGTCCATAGCTGAGGAATTGCTGCCTCAGTGGCCTATCATGGCTTTGGGCTGCTGTGGGGGCACAGGCTGCATGCTGCATGAAGCCTGCAGAAGCCATAGTACTTTGTTCCCCGATGTTCAGCCTCCACCACTCCTTAAAAGGCTGTGATTTGAACTTGTCTCAGGCATTTAGTGTCTCCTTACAGCAGTGTTTGGCTGCTGGCAGCCCTGGCTGCCTTTCCGCAGCCCAAGAAGGCACCTTGTCTAGTGGGGATGAGCGACTCTGGCTGGAGCATTTTTCTCCTGGTACTGCTTCTGTGAGTACCACAGCATGCAAAGAGGGTTGGAGGTGCTGGAATGCATCTGCAGAGATGCTGCTCTTACATGCTCTTGCTGCATTAAAAAGGCTTTAACAGGCTCTTGCTTTATCTTGCTACTGCCTTTCTAGTGACTGGCAAGAAAAGCAGAGGCCACTTGAATCCATGCAGCCAGGGAAGAAAAGCACAGGAGAGCCTCACCATGTGTTCTGGGTTGTTTTTCTCCCTTGAGAAATGGTGGCAAAGTGGCTGGCAATTGCCTGCACCAGCGAGCTTGTATCCTTACAGTGAAATTCCACCTATGCAGCCTGGCTGCATATTAGGTGTCCCTGCCAAACAGAGAGCAGCTGGATCTGGTTTAAAAATCGGGACAAGGTGTGACTAGGCTGGTGTTCAATGGACAGTCGCGGGCACATAGCTTCTGGCCCTCCCCTCCTCTCATTTGCTCTGGGGATTTTTGGCTCTTGCTTCAAAAGCCTGATTGTGGTAGGGGATTTTGCCTGCATTGTTCAGCCTCATGGGCTGCAGGAAGATGCTCAGGATGGAGTAATGGTCAGCTTTCCCAAGCCAGCCTGGTCAGGGGTTGAACCTGAGCTTCTCAAATCAAGCAGATCCATGCAGGTCCTGCACATCTGGCGTCTCGTTTAGGGATTCCCACAGAAAGTATATTGCTCTGAGCATGGCTCTGGGTCTGGAATACTGTTGCATCCTCTCTTTGTGAAGCCCCATCCTCAGGGGCTTCCCAGAAAATTTAGATGGATTGAATCTCTCTTCAAACTGTTCTTACCCCTGTGTTTGCTCTCCTTTGAGTGAAATGAGTGTTGATGGGAAATAATAGAAGGGCAGATGTGTAACAGGGCGAGTGTAGTGACAGGGGATCCCCATTCATGAGTGAGCTCAACTCCAGAATGGACAAAGACCTGAGCAGCCCGATATGGCTTTGAGATTAACCCCACTGAGGGCATGAAGGTGGTCAAGAAACCTTTCTTTGTAGCAGTTCCCAACCCACTTGTTGTCACAATAATTCCCCATACCCTTCAGCTGCCTCTGTTCTCCATCCCTCCTCCCTGTCACTGAAACAGCTCTGCCATTCATTGCCTGATCTCTAGTTCCTTGCTAAGCCCTCCATAATTGCCAAACTGCTTTAGCATGCTGTAGGCCATGATAATGAAGGAAAGAAGTTTGTTTTGTAATTGGATTAGTGCTGCTGGGAGCATGCTCTTGCACAGAGGTCAGATTGGAGCTGCATGGCCCTGGAGCCCCACGCTGCTCTGCCTGGTTGTGGGCCAGCTTGGGTTTGTGCTTGCTCCTGCACAGGACTTTGCTGGCCAAAAGACACAGCATTGCAGGAGGAAGGCATCCCAGAAGGCTGAAGGGTTGATTCAGGGCTGAATTTGAGCCTGCCTTCCTTGGAAATGGGAATGTTTGCTGAAACTCCGTTAGCATCTGCAATGACCCTTGCCTGCTAGGAATGAAGCGCTTTGGTTGGGGTCAGGCTTGATGTGGGCTTCTTCACCTTTCCCAGCATGAGCCCTCAGGGCTCCTGAACACCAATAGCTGATCCTTGTGGGTTTGGGTAAAACCCATGTATGCAGTTGTCCATCATCGATACCCCCTCCCTGTCCCTCTGGCCCACAGAAGTCCTGTTAAACCTAAGCCTGGCAATTAGATTAAATCCCAGCCCTACCAGTGATGCCTGTGTTGCTTGGATGTTTCTGAGAACAATGCCCTGTGTCCTGTCTCCAGCCACAGCAATCTCCAGTGCTGCAGGGGAAGGATCAAACAAAACCTCAGCTGCCGAAGTTTATAGCAAAGTGGAGAAATTTGTTCCTGACCCCTGCAGGCTACCAGCAAAATGTGCAGTGTAGCACATATGTGCGTGCCATGTGTTTACAATACGGTGCAGCTGAATACCTCCTTTCAAATCTCTTGGAGACCAACGTGTTTGATGCAAGGGGCAGCTTCAGCTCCTGACTCAGAGACCACCCTTGCTCAGTTCCTTTGGTGTACTTCCCCAGCATCATCTTGAACCAGTTTCTTGCTCCTGGTGCCCTCTTTGAAAACTGTCCCAAAACATCTGTGCTCGTATGCTTCCACCTAATTTTCAGTCTATGCTTGTGATGAGTTCTCTCCTTTGCACAGTTTTGGAGGGCTGTTTTTTTAAAGCAGCATGCTTGGGTAGATCTTTTGGGTGAGATCTTCCCAGTGCCTTGCTACTGATGCAGCTCTGTCCCTCTTGAAAACTCAGCCTCGCTTTCATCCCTGAACTGTTTGCTGTTGGTATTCATGGGGTCACTCCAATACTAGGGGTGGAGAGAAAGTCCTAGAAATACCTCTTTGCTCAGAGACACCCTTGTTAATACAAAACATCATTTACTTGATTAGCTGGTTCCTCCACTGTAACCATACCCACCACTCCCATCATTGGAAACTGGTTCCTGTTTCTTCAACCAGCCTAAACGTGCTGCATAATCCTGTCTAAGAAGTTACTTATGAGAGAAGATCATTGAATTAAACTGACAGAATGTATCTGTGATAAATCGTTTCCATTTGCCTTTCTATCTTGAAGCTGGATTTCCTTCAAAACCTGCTCAGAGCCTCAGAAGCCTGTATGTTTGAATCTCTTTTCCCATTTCTGGGGGGCGTGTCAGCTGAATTTGCTTGCTGTTTAAGCTCTTTTCATATTATCCTAAATCTGGTCCTTTTTTTTCACAGTGTTCCTTTCCTCCTTTATCTCAAGCAGTACCTCCCCGTTGACCCTCATCTCGTGCATTGGTACGTGTCCTCACCTGGTGCCTGGGGCGCTGTCCCTCATGCCCCGCTCAGCCTGGTGACCTGCACAGCTACAAGCCTTTCATTTCCAGGATAAAAGTATGCATGCTGAATTTTTCTCCATTAAATGGCAGTGCACAGCAAGCCTTGCTATGTGCCGGCGTGGGACCAGCGGCTCTCTGCACATGCACGTCCTCTCGCTGTTTGTGTTCGGAGTAGGCTTGCTGTGCAGATATGGTGCAGTGATTTACTGCCCATATGCAGCATTACAGCCTCTCTGCGCATGCACAGCATGTCATGATTTACTGCAGGCATTAATGGTTACCTCTCGGCACATTCGCAGCTCATCTGGTTTTATGCCCGTGCTCACTGCAGTCTCTCTGGTGCTGCACAGCCTGGCCCTATTTACACGCTAGGCTCATCCACCTCTTTGCCCCACTTGCTGCTCACACGTGCCTCTGTCTGTCTCCAAGGGGCACAGTCTGCCCAACTGGCCACTTGCACACAAGGCGGTGTCCAATTTACTGCACATGCAAGGGGTGGGCACTCCATGTGGTGCAGCATGGCCTCTGTGTGCTCACGACATCCTGATCTATTGCATGTGTGTTAGTGGCAAGTCCTGGCTTCTCATGAAATGCCATGCAGCCCCCGCACAGGCGCAGTGCAGTGCTGTTATCTGCATGTGTGCAAGCACTGTCATTGTGTTCTGACATCTGAGCACCCCCTCCTTCCTAATTTATGGTGCAGACTGCAGGCTCTGTGCTGCGTGGAATTCCCTTTACTTTCTACACATGGGGGCTGTCTGACTCTCCTCTGCCCGTGGCCATCTGCTCTGCCCCTTGTAACTGCCTCACAAGGGCTGAGATGCAGCCTTACATCACCACCGTGGGCTGCCCTGGCTGATGGCCTGCTCTGGAAACTGTGGGCTGTGAAGGTGTTACAGTCCGGTCTCTGGAGGACAGCAAGACCCAGTGTCCTGTGAATGTCATTTAACCAGAGCTCCAGGTGCCATCTGGATTGCAGCATCTCTGGTGGTCTTTCCAAAGGATATTAATGGGCTGCCAATGACTACCCCCTACCCTTGGCTTGGGAGAGCAAAAGGGGAAAAGTGTCCTGTCAGAGCACCCAGAAAAGCTTCAGTGGGCAGAATGGACCATGCACGTGCTCACATGCTCAACAATGTTGACTGCTGTCACTTGAAGACTTTGCAGAATGTACCCATAAGGCTCACACCAGGGAAAGTGAGGAAGGTGTGACTCCCAGCTATGGCATACAACTGCCTGTGAAGGAAGCATGGGAGAGTCAGGGTCTCCTATCACTTGCCCTGGAAAGGTTTGTAGTCCTGGTTGTGACACTGGAGGACAGCATGTGCAGAGAGCTGTCAGCTGGAGGGGAACTGGTGGGTGAGTGAGAAGGGGAGGAGCTGTGTCTCCTGCAGTTTGTTGCAGGGAATGTGGATTCTGGTTCTACTCCAGAAAACAGCAAATCATACACCAGAGCAGGCAAGAGACTAAGCACAGTCCTCAGTGCAGTCCTCCAAAGGGCCCACTTAGTTGAAGGTCTCTCCGAAATCCATCTTCAGGCTTTGTGGCTGTGGCCCTGTCTGCCCGCAGATTGCATGGTAATTCTGGCAGTTAGTTCTCACTGGCAGTTGCTGCTCCTGCTATCAGTGCTGTGATAATTGTCCCCGCTGGGCTGGTCCTGCTCAGAGCCATTAGCAGCAAGATCCTTTCATCAAAATATGTCTCATTCCTGTCTTGGCAACTACAGTAAATGTCTGTCTGTTACTGAGGCTGAACGTATATAATGGCACCAGGTGGGGTCACTCTGTAGCGGGGGCTGATTTTGATATGCTTGCAGGGTTCTTGGCACGTGGAATGTCCTCCCCCCAGCTCTGCCATCCATTCGGCAGTGCAGCTGCTGTGCCTGTAGTCTTTGCCATGAGGAGAGTGGAGCAGGTGATCCCTCCCTGATGGCAGAAGCGATGCTGATTTCCATTTAGATAGAGGAATTTCAATCTCAGCTTGATGTCTCCTTGCAACTCAAGACCCAAATTTCCAATTTGCTTCATTGTGTGAAGCCAGATGCTCTCTGCTGGCTTGGGAACTGAGACATGTTTAAGGTGCTGCACCCTAGCACAAGAGGACAGTCAGTGACTGTTTATCCATTTTTAGCTCCCCGGGGCAGCTTGCACATGTGGCTGCATGGCTCCTGCCACACACTGACATCCACTGCCCTGCCTAGGGCCCAAAGCACCTTCCCCACCTGTCAGCCCCCTGATCTCACCCTTGCCCAGAGTCAGGGTGGAGTGTCACAGCCTCATGGGGAATGACTGCAGGTACTGCATTGAAGTCTTGGGGCAGGTGCTTACCAGCAATGAAGGATGCCTTCAGGAAGGCTTTTGGTGACCAGTGGCTCAATGTCCAGGTGGAGATTGGTGACAAATGGTGTCCCTCAGCAGTCAGTCCTGGGACTGATGCTGTTTAGTATCTTCCTCAGTGACATTGACAGCGGGATCAAGTGCACCCTCATCAGTTTGTGGATAACACCAAGATATGTGGCGTGGTGACAGGCCCAAGGGGTGGGATGCCAATCAAAGAGACCCAGAAAGGTTGAGCAGTGAGCCCAGGAGGACCTCATGGGGTTCAACAAAGCCAAGTGCAAGGTCTGCACCACTACCAGACAAACTGGGGGATGAAAGGATTGACAGCAGCCCTGCCAAAAAGGCTGCTGGACATGAGCCAGCACTGCCCTCACAGCCCAGAAGGCCAACACATCCTGGGCTGCATCAAAAGAAATGTGGTCAGCAGAGTGAGGGGGGGATCTGTCCCTCTGCTCTGCGCTGTGCGACCTCACCTGGAGTGCTGCATCCAGATGGGGAGTCCTCAGCACAGGAGTGACATGGAGCTGTTGGAGTGCATCCAGAGAAGGGTGACAGAAATGATTCCAGGGATGGAACACCTCCATACAAGGACAGGCTGAGAACTGGGGCTGTGCAGCCCAGACAGGAGAAAGTTCCAGGGAGTCCTGAGAATGGCCTGTTGCTAAAGTGTCTAACGGGGCTGTAAGAAAGGAAGAGACAGACTGTTTATCAGGGTCTATTGTGATAGGATGAGTGGAAATGGTTCCAAAATAGGAGAGGGCAGATTGAAGTTGGATATAAGAAATTTTTGACACTAAGGGCAGTGAAGCAGTGGGACAGGGTGCCCAGAGAGGCGGTGGTGCCCCGTCCGAGCAGACACCCAGCGCCAGGCTAGGGGCTCTGAGCTCCTGATGTGCTGCGGGCGCCCGTGTGCACTGCAGGGAGTTGGACCAGATGACGTTTAAAGGTCCCTTCCAACTCAAACGATCCTGTGATTCTACGGTTTTATTAAAGGTGCTGCTCAGGAGCAAGGCAGTACTGCCCCCCAGGAGAGGCAAAGTCCAGGAGAAGACGGCATGCCAGCTCAGAGCTCGCTGCAAGGGAGACCAAAGGGAATTCCAGAGAAACCTTCCAGTTCTCCATGAACAGGGAACGAAGGAAACGGCGCGCAAACCGCCTCCGGCCGCCGGCAGGTAACCGCGGGCTGAGGCGCGGCTGCCGCCTGCCGGCTGCGGGAGGGGCGGGCAGGGCCGGGGCCAGGCGGCGAGGGGCGAGGCTTTGCCGTGAGGGGCGGGGCCAGGCGCGGAGGGGCGGGGCATCGGGATCCGGCGCGCGGGTCGGGCGGCAGCGCGGGGCGGCCATGTCGGGCGCGGCGCCGGGGAAGGCGTCGGTGTCGGCGGCGATGTCGGCGTCGGCTCGGCCGCGGCGGAAGGTGCTGAGCGCGGAGGAGGCGGAGCTGTTCGAGCTGGCTCAGGCGGCGGGCAGCGGGCTGGACCCGGAGGTGTTCAAGTGAGCGGCGGTGCGGGGCCGGGACGGGCGGGGAGCGAACGAGCCTCCCGGCCCCGCGCTGATCCCGCCCCGCCCGCAGGGTGCTGCTGGACCTGCTGCGCATGAACGTGGCGCCGCTCGCGGTCTTCCAGGTGCTGAAGTCCATGTGCGCGGGGCAGCGGCTGCCGGCGGGCCCCGACAGCGCTCCCCCCGCCGCGCCGCCCGCCGACAGCCGAGGTAGGGGCCGCGCGGCGGGCCCTCCCCTCTCCGTGTCTCCCGCGGAGCCCCCCGAGGACGCGCCCGCCTTCTCCTTCGCGCTGCGGCCTCCGCGCTTCGCCCACCCGTCGCCCCGCTGCCTCTCGGCGCCGCCCGCCGCCCGCCCCGCCCCGGGGCCGCCCCTGGGCGCTCCGGCGGCCGCTCCGCAGGGCCGGGGGTTCGGGGCCGCGCGGCGGGGGCTGCGGCTGCCGGCCCGGGGGGCGGCCCCGAGGGGGGCGCGGGGCGCCCGCTCCGTGTGAGGCGGCGGTGCTGCGGCTCCTCGGGCTGTGCCCGGACCCGCCGCGCCGGAGCCCTCGCTTCCCTTGTGCTTAGAGGCGTAGCACGGAGGGGCGCGGGCGCTGCGCTGCGCTGCTCGGCGCTGCGGGGCCGGGCTCGGGCGCTCGGCTGCGCAGACGGAGGAGGCCGAGCCGGATGCTGCCCTCGCGCCCCCCTCTCCATCGCTCTCGGTGTTTCTGAGCGAGGACTGCCAGGTGCGGCCTGCGCCCCGCGGATGGGCTCCTCCCTGCTGGAGGAGATGCTCTCGGTTGCAGGCTGCCCGGTGAGAGGACGCTGGCAGTAAAGAGCCTCGCGCGTACCTCACGTGACTTTAATATACGCAGGGACGAAAGAAAACGACTTCTTGAGCAAAGTGAGGAAGGCACGGCACTTGGATGTTCTTCTAGCGCCGGGCCACTGCTGCGAGCTGCTTCAGGATAGCGCTAGGCCGGCTCAGGTCTGCAGTGGCTAAAGGGTCCCTTTTTGTGAACAGCATTACTTCCTCAAGAGGAAAAGCCAAAAACCCTATGGACAAACTTGGTCTGCCCTTGTCACTTGCTTCCTATCAGCCTGAGGTGCTGAAATGCATTAAAGAGATGGTAAACTTCCAGGAATTAGTGTCGGTGTTGGGGCCTTCAGTTGGTTCCCTCTCCATCGATGCAGGAGCATTTCCTGTCCAGGTGCTGTCCGGCTTTGCCTGCAGTCTCTGTGTCCCTGTGCAACCTGCCTTTCTGGCCTGTGTTTCTCCTTAAAACCAACACATAAGTATCTTTGAGTATGTTGTACTGAGCTGGTGAAGCGCAGGGGAAGCTCAGGGAAAGATAGCACTAGCTCTGTGTCACTTGTGGGAAATACAGTGTTAAATTGGTCTTCTGTATGTCTCACTGCTGCTTTATGTGAAAATGTGAAAACATTTCTTCATTATTTCATGAGACTGGAACGTGCCTGCAGGGCTAGTTGGTGCACTATGTCACTGGATCACACACAGCTTACTAAGATAGGAGGATTGAGCCCATCAAGCCATGTTTTAGTGTTTTGTCCTGTATCTGTAGAGAAAGCTGGTCTGAAACTGGCACTGAGTCGGTGCTCAGTGCTCCTGGCAGAGGGATGCTTTGGTCTCCTGTCTCACCACAAATGCTGGTGGGTGATGTTTGTGCAGCTTTGCTGGAAGGCTTGGTCCTCCCAGTTGCATCTGGTTTTTAGGTGTGGATCTTTTTTTTTTTTTTTTAAATTTTCTGAGCGCTTTTGCTGCATCAGAACTCAGAGCAGTAGCTAACCTTGAATGAGAATTCTTTGGTGTCTATCAGCTCAAGTGAGTTTGCCAGACTTGATGATGATGAACAGCAGCTAATTCCTTTGTGATTAGAATCACTACTGGCTAGCCATCAGAAAATTCTTTGGGCAAAACTTGTCATGGCAGTGTCTTGTCACAAGCATCCTTACTTCTGTGACTATAAAATCTTCTTAACATCGAGAAAAGTGGACGTATTTGGTTTTTTGTTTTTATTTCCCTCCCCCTCAAGACTTCCTTTTGAGGATGTATTTCTGCAGCCTCTCAGGTGGGAGATGTCTGTCCTTGCTTTGACTCAGCTGCAGAGGGGCTGCCTTAGCTCAGTGCTTGGCCTGTCCTCAGATGGACATCAAACACATTTGCACTTCTGTACAACTTGTGTGTCAGACACCACAGGTGATGTCCACACTTGGAGCGATGTGCCTGTAGTGTCAGAGGAAGATGTTTAGTACTTTTGGTTGAAGGTCATGAAAACAGACTTCCAGAGAGGGGTCTTGGTTTGTGAGAACTGATGATGGTGTAACGCAGAACCAGGCCACCGGTGCCAGCCTTGTGTGTCTTTTACTGCACCTTAGACTGAAGGAACCCTGCCTGTCGAGCAGGAGCTTTACTGGAGCCCTGAGGAAAAGTGGTGTTGACATAAAGATCCCATTAAAATGATCAAATTTTCAGCAAACTAATTATCTCTCCTTTAACTGGGGAAGCAACTAGTTAGCTCAAACTGAAGAGGAAGAGGAATCGGGCTTCCTCGTTTCATGAGCTTTCTGGTTCTGGGCACAGTCCATCTTCATTGGCCCAGTTCGGGAGTTTGGGGTAAGTGCTAACAGGGTGATTGGGGGTATCCTCTGTGCCGGGTCTGTTCTGCAGGAGTGTTTGGTTTGCCTTGCCTCCTTTCCCTTTAGGAACTGCTGCAGGGAAAGGGAACCAAAGCTGTATCTGCTGCGTGCCCTGCCAGCTCCTGTTGGAAGATGCTCCTTCTGTTTAAGAAGAGGATGGTGTGGCTTCTGCACAGGACAAGGCATTGGGAAATGGGAGATGCCCACTGCTTAGCTGGGACTTGTCTGCTGACCAATCCAGAGCTCCTTGTGCTGATACAGAGTGCAGTGATTGTCCTCTATAAGCTTGCCAAGCTGCTTCGCACGATGTTCTTCGGTGCTGCATGTGTGCCCTTTCTTCTGTGCTTCTTCCTTTGTCAGAAGACAGACACGTGGCTGCAGTAATCCAGATCTTGCTACGCATCAGCTGAGACTGCTCTGTTCAAGTTTTATCAGTAGCAGCGATGTACTGGCGTAGGCTTCTCAGATCATCATGATGCAGGGAGGTTTGTTAAAGCAGGTCAAGATTGTTTTTCTGATCATTGTGACTGGGGTAGAGGTGAGAAAGTGCATCGCTTCCTTCCTCTTGCCCTTGTAGTAGTTATTTCAGCTTTCTTGCAGCTGAGGCTCTTAAGCAGCAGGGAATCTAATACAAATGACTTTGTATTGTGTTTTCCCATAGAGTATAACACTTTAAACCGTGATGTTCTGCTTGGAGTTGTTCACTGGTAACAATTCATAGCTGTCTCAAAGTGACTGTGAGAATTGGTGCATCTGTCTGGTGTGTTTAGGTGGGTACAGTCTCGTGCAAGCTGCATTCAGAGCTTTGTCACAGTAATGATTTGGTGCTTATTTTAAAGGGGAAGGATGTGCTTTGGGCAATTTCTTCCTATTCGTGCAGGGGAGATATGTGCATACCACTGATTGGTATGACCACTGTTGTTGCAAGGACCCCCAGTGATAGTTACCACTCCTGGATGCTGCTGGCTGGCTCAGCTGTCTTCTTTGGAGCCCTTTTATACCCACCTTTTGCTTACTCGGCCTTGTGTAGTCCCAGGGTTCATCTAGATGCTAGATTTGTAATGCATGCTTCTTTGTTAAGGAGATAAAGTTGTCATCAATGCTATGTGGAACTTGAATACGGTGGAGGGAATCCCTTCAGAGATATTAAGGATTTGTCTTAATCTTGATGGTGCTGTCAACGTGAACAAGTTGCAGAGAGAATTGGTTTTTTCTGGCTGGTGTAGGCATCTCTTCTATTCCACGTACAGGATGTTTGCAGTCTCATCTGAAGCTGTAAGGCTTTCTCTGAGCTAGATGTTTGAGCCAACTCTTTGCTGTTCTGGCAGCTGTTTTGAACACTGTATGGGCATCACTTTCAGTATATCTTTTTGAGAGCTATTAAGCTTTTATATATATATATATATATTTTTTTTCTTTTTCTGTGAGGTAAGAATTGACAGTGAAATGGGATTTAGATGAATACTCCAAATGCCAGACTTGTAATTTGTGGCTTTGGCAAAATAATGAGGTGGAGGTTCATTATGAACAGCAACTAATTCATTCACTTTCTCTCCCCTCGACCAACCTAAAAACACCCAGAAAGTCTTGCTGGTAGACTGAATAGAGCTCTGAAAAGTATGGAACATCTTCATCTCTTCTGTGATTTGCACACAAGAGAAGTGGAGGAAATGAGATTCACGTGTGTGATAATGAAAGCCAGCAAAGCAACCTTCTTAGAGAAGCAAAAGGTAATGGTTTTGAACAGGCTACTGTTCAGTAGGAAATGCTGTAAAATCCTATTCTTTGAAAGTTATTGAATAGGATTTGGCACTTGGTATGTTAATTTAAGCTTGCAGTTGTAGTGCTGCCTAATCCAGCTGAATACCTGGCTTGAGGTTGTAAGTTTTGTTCAGGTCTTTTGTGGCCTATGTAGGTTTCAGCTTTGTATTTCCTCTCCAAATTCAGATGTATGTGTGTGCAAGAGAAGGCAGGTGTTTAAATAATGACCCACTGCTCCATTTAGCTAAATGCATGCTTTCTTAGCAAACTACTTTAGCAGGTGCATTTGAAAACTCATTTTTCTTTTTCCTTGGTTTCAAGACTGTTCCAGTGGATTATTTGAAACATACTCTGCCAATCTTGCCTGGCCTCCTGACTGTGTCTTTGCAGGGAGGCTACTTTAACAGGGATGTTGTCTTGGCTCTGGGGAAAGCCCTGCGTGCCACATTTGTATGAGCTGTTAGGAATAGTTCAGCAGCTTTGGAGACCTGGAAACCCAACAGATTGAGAATGAAGAGCCATAGCTATATACTGGGATTGGTTTGAAGAATGAGGACTAGCTGTATAAGTCTCACTGCTGTTCTCACCTCCAATGGGTGGGCAAAAGTTGAGTCCTGGTAACCCTGTTGTGATTGCAAGAAAGAGGGTCTTCCATTCTTATCAGCTGTTTTTTCATCCATACTTAATTTTCTAGGAAGGCCAGCTTGCTTGCTGGGTCCCATGTAAGCCCTACTGCAAGACAGGAACAGGAGCAGAATTTTGGGGAGTTCAAAGCCCAAGCACAGTTTGCTCTGGCCTTTTTGAATGGGAAAGAGCTAGCACTGAGCTAAATGGGGCACACACATCTGCTCTTCTCATACTGTGTCAGGTTCTGGAGAAGGTGCAAATACAGCTGCTTTTTTTTGGGATCGTATTTGGGCAGACATGTGCCAAATGAGAGACAAGTCAAGCATGACTTGCATTCGTTGTTTGGGCTACAGTTGTTGCAGGACAGTGAGACACATCCGGGTTAAGGGCATCTTGTGTCAGCAAGCTAACTATCAGTGGAATCCTTTTGCTATCTGTCGTACTTAAGTTTCAGAGCTGCTGGTAGTAAACTCTTCTGTGTTTTGCAATAAAGAGCCCTGATATCACCGATAGTGTTTTAACTGGAAGGTTCACCAACCATGTCTGTTGTTGCACACTTTATGGGCTGCTTTGGTTCGGTGCACAGTTCTAGAGATGATGCTTCAAAAAATATAGTTGGCTCTTATGCTGTTGAAGTAACTGGTTTGTTTTGTTGTGATGTGAAGGCTAAGAGGATGGAAGGCAGCGTATGTTTTGTCTGAGAATAGCTTTCTTTTACAAAGAGGTTCTTTCTCCCCAGGTTTTTTCAGCTAGGTCAGAAGATCAAGGGCCTGGCTTCTGGTAGCACTTAATGGTACAATTGCTTGTACATGGATGTAGTTAGTCCATATGTGCAGGCTGAGAACGTGCACTCTTTCTGCACATAGGCATGTGAAGAAGGGGAGAGCCCTCACTTACGTAGAGATGTACTGGTCTGCTAAAAGCATCATGGTGGACTCCAATCCTTTGTGCCAGTTTTTCTCTTAGATACCATGAGGTTGTGTATTGCCTTTGTGCAATATGTTTATTTCCGTTGATGGTACTCACATTACTCAAACTGCTGACGTGCTTACAAGCTTGAGCTATACGAAGAAAAAATGCAAGGCTGGTTGGCTGGCTTGGGCTGATAACTGCTGGTAGATCATTAATGTGACTTACAATAAGAGACATTGTAGAACACCTGATTTGGCTGGGATAAGTGAATGTATTTCTTTTGCTACTCTAATCCATCAAATTTTACAGATAAGAAGGGGTCATACCCTTTGTTTGGAAGTTCTCAGTTGTCTTTCCTGTACTGCGAGGTGTTAGCTTGTGGTATTGATGTGACTGCTGTTCTCAGTTACGCCAAGGAGATGGGGCAGTTGGGTAAGTAAAGC